CACTGCCTCATTATTAACAAACGCATTTCTAACATCTTGAAAAGAACACTTTGGCGTTTTCATGAACTCTCATTCCAGATCAGGTATGTTAATTCCTGAAATCAGCCGATCACGCGACTGCACATGAAGTTGATCATCAAAGTTGCACTTGGTGGCTTGTTCCTGCAATCCAGAGGTAAATTCTCTAGTCTTTTGGTTATTCTGACGAATTATTTTATGAACCTTTGCACCTTCACGACATTCGAAATTAGTACACCAACACATTGTTTAGTAGTAGTTTTTTGAGAGTTGCGTATGTAAAGGAAGAAGGTTTATCTGGGAATGCCGACATTTTTAGTAGTAGTAGTAGTAGTAGTAGGCATCCTTTTCGATGAGTGTGAGGGCTTGAGCCACAATTCTATCAGCCTTAACATCTTTCGTGGTCATGCTCCAGATTTCAGACCTTTGCATATGATCTTTGAAAACCCTAGAATTTGGATGTATATCTAACTTTCTCATCCCGGGTCCCATTACGAAGCAAATATGATAAATAAAAGTATTCTACTAATTGTATTAACTAGGAATTCCCGAAACAAATCAGTTTACAGATAGTAGAACCTGATGAGTATAAACGAACGATTGTATTTAGAATTCAAAATCAGACACATCAAGTACTGAAGAATCCTTAGTTCATACAAAAACCACAGCATCACTGTATTTTAACGTTTACGTAGCCATGTTAGGTTGATCACAATATTCTTCAAGGACAATTCTGAACTCTTTGTAATCGATCCTAGTGGAATTCATATAGAACTTTTTATGTGGAGATGATGAATGATATGGGTGCTCAATCACCATGTCTTATTGAATCCCAAACTTTTACTGGTTAGCATAAAACAAAATTCTTAAATGTATTATAAGCTAGAATAACAATTATTACAGTGTGTGGTGTTTGTGTGAACTACATGAGGTCCACCTGATTTCGAATTTTGAATACAATGCGTTTGTTCGTGTTCATCTAATACGTCTTCGTTAAACTGCGTTATTTCTGGGGATTCCTAGTACGTACTATAATTCAAATACCTCAAGCTACCACACGTTCCCAAATACTACACTAAGGGACACTTTCGGGAACCTGAACACTTTTACAGTTCTGGAACCTGTAAAAACGGATACAGTGTTTAATAATCCTATCCTTAAGAGACGGTAAAACATCATTTAGGCAAAACCGCACATCACTTGTATTTCATTTGTCAAATAGTAAAGTTTGGGAAGTTTGTTTTGAAAAGAAAATTGTTAAAGCATCTACTCATATTATTCCATGCTCTGCAACAATGATCTCGATCAACCACCACGAAACTGTGACCACCCGACGAGCTGAGTTGAGTACAGTTAAGTTCTTATAGTTATCAAAATCATAGTGATGTAAACAGTGAAATTTTATGAATAGAGTGAGGACTAAGATTTTTTCCCAATTTTTTGACGCCTGCCTTGGATTCTCGGATGGGTCCCAAAACCAGAGAATTGAACAAACAAGCAAATACACCACACATTCAGTCTTATAAACCTCAATATTGGCAGCCAAAGATTAAATACACTACCACCTACGAGATTAGTGTGAACACTAATAAATAATTGCAACTGTGAAGATCTACTTACGCTTCATATCAGTAGTAGTAACTAGTATTAAACACAGCCCTAAAATTATTCTGTAGTCACTTCGTAGTCGTTCATCCTGGGAAGTGACAAATCGGGACTCACAACATCACCTTATGAAGAGCGCTTGCAATCACTTAACCTCCACTCAGAGTATAGACGTCTTAGAGGTGACCTAATGGCTTACAATAACCTTAACACTCCTGGACATACCCTAAAACACCTAATTAAGCTTAGTTCCAACACTAACCTGAGGTGTAGCACCCAGAAACTAGAGACACAACATAGCAGAATGGACTATAGGCACAACTTCTATCCCTTAAGAGTTGTCAATTGCTGGAACTTTCTGCCGGCCGAGCTAGTCCAAGCGACTTCCCAGGAGTTTTTTGAGAGGCAACTGGATTTATTCTTAAGGACTAAGTATAGTATCGTACTATGATTTACCGATTTCTTTTTTCTCTTTTATTGTTAACATACCTAGTTTCCTACTTTGAGGTATTGGTGATCCCCTGCTACTGGACACGGAAGCCTGTTAAGCGAAAGCTTCCTCTATTCAGTCCACAACCATTTGAACACATGAACTAGGTGCTGAGAGGCTCGCTTATCACAAGTTTCTTGCAACGATTATGTAGATAAAACAAAGTAGCATTAGATTCAAAAATTTATTCAAGAACTTTCATTAAGAATCGAATATCAAACAAAGGTTTAAACCAAGTTCCCGTTTAAAAGTTGTATTGGTAATGTTAAGCTGCAGTTTTTGTTGTTTTTTTCCAAACGAAAGAGTAAAAGAAGTCACAAAATACTGGAAGTGGTTGTGAGACTAAAATGGAAGTCCAGCATCCTTTTTATCATCTGCTGTTCGTTGGATCTCCCGTAAACAGTTCCAGAGGGCCATAGTTCCAAGGGCGAAACAGTTTTTAATGTCTGTGAAGGCTCACTACTGTTGCATTCTAAAGAAAAAATATTGATGAATTTAGTCAGAAATTTGGAATATATAAATAAGCAAATCACATGTTTTTTAGCAAAGAATTCATGCAGTTATGATTTACCTTGAGTTCATCAATATTAGATAAGGTCAGCTACTATTACTTGTGCATAGCATAACATGGGCTTAGTACCGTATTGCAATGCTGTTATTATTTGGCTCCCATTTAAGTATTCCCATGCATCTGCGTCTAGTTTAACAGGAAAACATACAAGCAGAGTAAGTGTCTGATAAACTAAAAGTCCCAGTTGTCAAAAAGATTCTTGACATTTGTCCACAGCCAGCTGCATTTAATTGAGACACAGAACACTCATCTTCTAAGACTGTATACTGCCGTTTTGCGGGCAACTAAAAGCTCAGACACTTAGCTATCTTGCTACCGATGTTATTGCTGGGGAAATTGTTTAATGACAGTGATCATGAAATATGGTCAGTGATAGATGTACAGTTTAGAAGTAAACACCAAACATACTTATCGTTATCTTATAATGTATGACAGCAACAGCATCAAAGGCACGTTTTTTCCTATTTTTAATCAGACTGATCTGAATTCGTATACACATTGGAAACAGGCAACTCTACTTACTAAACTGATCTGTTTCGTTACAGGCTTCAAGCACTATACTTAAGTATATCATAATTCTTTCAACTAAACTGAATTATACGACAACCAAGAACACTAAACTAAGCAAGTGTCATAGTTATTGTTTCACTTGCAAAGACATGTTGCTCAAAGTAGTTAAATGGACATAATTAAGCCGATAAAACCAAAACAGGAAATATAGGCCAGTTGAAGTTACCTAAGAAAAAAAAGGATACATATATACTGCTTTCATACTGAAGACAACAGGCAGTTGTTCATAGAAACATAGTTTACAGTACAACAAACCTTTCTTCAGTAAAATCATACACTGACAGTCTATCTGGAAACAATCAACTATGTGAATAAACTAACTATGACTTGAGATATCATCCCAACGTGCAATGAACATACAGTGTAACGCAGTCGGACGTGGCGAATAAAAATTAAAAACAGATCAAAATTAACTACATAATCTGGTTATTTAATTAAAAATACATTATGAAATGGCAAAATCTGTGGTTAATTGAACGCACAAACGACAGTGTGCGATACATTAAGTTTACATGGTTGCGTTGCGGATAAGATCACCCCTCACAATACTCTCACTTCTTTACATAACGTGAACTGATTCTGCTGCGTTCATTATAGAAACATGGTTCAGTTAGCGTCAACAAGTTCACCCTGTCTAAACTTTGTATATCGATCTCAGAACTCTTACAGCTTGGTTCTTTAGCATTTTACTCATTCTTCTGGCGCCGATTGCCAATTGGCATTTAACTGTTTGCCTAGAGTACCACTCTACATCCATACGTTTTTCTCTGCGACAAGTATCAAGCCTTTCTCAAGGGTACTACCTGACTTTACAAGCTCGCATGACTCCCAATACAATTTAACAACCGATAGATGACTGCTTTATTTTCTTCACAGATGCTTGCTCACTGTTCTACGACTAATATCACTTAGTTCCCGGATCAACTACAATATTCCGTGATAAAGCTTACCATTCTGTCTTTCCTTTAGATGGCAGGTTCGCTGTAGTTTTTGATGACCACCACGCTACAAATAAATATACATTGGGTTTCTCCTTGTCCATACAATGATTCAGGATTGCCAGGCGAGATTTCAAACGACTGTACTTTGCCATGCAACAGCTGCGGAAAATTTTTCAACCGTTTGGTCAATTAGTTGTGGTTCCTGTCAAGTGTGTGTATACAGTGCATGTTCGTCAAAAAATCTAGAATCTTATATAAGTAGTTAGTCCTCGGATAAAAAAGGGTAGTGAGATTTGAATGTAGGTCTTATGGACAAAAACTAATTAGATTTCTGAAACTTCGGAGCTGCCGACTGACGAGAAACTGGTGAAATCAATCGTATTCGAATTTTCTTGCTAAAGAACTAAGGGATCAACGAGGATGCTCTTAGGAGAGTTTCAACCCAAGTAGGAATTCCCTTTCATCTAACAACCGCTTTTTCTATCGAATCATCAGTAGATAGAACTCATTATCTCTGTACGTGGTTGCAGCTCTATCTGTCAAAATTTTCAATAGAAGGAGAGCTCATCTGCGACCCTCACCCTGATTTCGGATACAGGCTCTTCAACCACTACTCCATTAACATTGAATGATACTTTGAGGTCATTTCCCTTACAAATAACTAATTTCTTACGCTTTTTGGATTACTTTAAACACGTATTGATAGTACAGTGCTTACAAAATAATTTTAAAGAATCAATGTATCAGAAGGATTACTATATTTTTATGAAAAGCGTTTAAATTTACATGATTAGGAGATGTGTCATTCTTGAATCGACTGGATGACCTTGAGGCGTCCAAACACACACGTCCTTCAGATTTACCCTTGATAGCTACTGTGGGGTGGTTTTTATCTTCAGAATGTCAGGTTTGTAATTTTTTACGCTATAGTGCAAGTCACCACACCATGTATGTGTACCTATTTTTCCACTAATGACTCTACAGGGTTTCTGTTTCTTTTTTACTTCCAAACTCACATACTGTTCTCTGTGACTTTTCACGTGAACGACCAGTTTGAAACTTTTTTAGAAGTTTGATAGGAAATCTTTATCTTTTTGTAATCCAAACCATAGGTTAATACCGTGGTGGGTTAGTTTCATCGCTTTGTATAGCCACTCGAGTGGCTATACAAAGCGACTGATCAGTCTTTATCTAGTCCACTCCATCACTAAAATAGTTCCTCGGGTAATTAGTTCTAGTTTTTGTTGCATACCGCACTTATATATGTCTATTCACATCTACAGGTAAGTTTCCGTTCTTTTTGTAATCTGCATTTCTGAGGCGTGATATTCGGAAATAACAGACATGTTAACCACTGACACCTGCACACCATGAAGAAATCGTCGAGTAATGCTCAGGTGACAGAGCGCAGGGTGAGACTATAATTTATGAACGACCTCGGAACGAATCTTATGTGACTTTGAGGAATATTAGCCAATCAGAAAACACTTAATATAGATTAAGATATATTATACAAAACCAAGGAGTTAAAGTGGATACACTCCTTCAACATGGTTCAAAAACTCTTCAAGGTCTGAAAGGTTCGGAGGTTCTAAAATTGTAATGCATACAGTAGAAGAGCTCATCCATATGGTTCCATAATAGTCGGCCTCTGGAGCCATGATAAGGTCGCAAAAACTCTTTCAGCCTCTAACACATAGCTTCAAAATTGTCAATGTGCACTCCAGTTGTTGGGTCTACAAAATGGCGCTCATGGGTAACGTCATGATACACATAACCAAATCTATGCAGGCATCTGTACGATCTCCAATCATCCGTATATATTGTAGTGCCTGGTTGCACATATTCCCGTATAACTGGTGTTATTGTCGTTGTCTATCGGTTTCCGACCCGTTGGAAGTGTCTGTTTTGAGATGACCTGTAGTAAATTTGAAGGACCTTTGAGGTAAATTTATGAAAGTGCTACTTACCCAGTCTTCTTTAATAATACGTCCTCTGTTAAATTTTCGTTTTCTGACTACTGTTTCGTCTATTTCAACAATTATCTCGACTCTTCCAAACGACCTGTGTAAGCTTGTCATTTTTATTGCACATTTATCTCTACAGTACTTATATCACTGAACAGCTGAAGCTTCAGTAACATATGCAAAGGTTGCAGCCAGTGTTACTAATGCTTTTATTATCCAGTTTGCAACGTTTATCATAATTTGCCTTAATCCCAATCTGGATCGAGCGAAAAAAGTTCCTGTCCTTCCTCCAACATAAACAACATCGAAAGATGTCATCACGGTAGTCTGCACATGGTACAGCAGTCATTTGATTACCGCGATCACAAATAAAGGGACTTCTTAGTAATCCTATTTGTTGTGGCCGCCGAATTATCACGTCTTCTCTAAAATCTGCTGTAAACAGATCGTACTTTGCATTAGGTACTGAAATTTGCGTTGTGACCTTTAAACCCCTCAAACGCTTCTGACTGGCTCGTCCATAAATTATATTCTCGTCGTTCGGACCCCAACCAAGTAATCTGCATCTACCAACGTGGCTCAGACCACAAGTTAGTGACTCCAAGTACTGATACCACATTTTGGTTTGACCGCCTCTAACTTTCTTCCAACCGTCTCCAACACTAGTCAGCATTGCGTGTCGTGGTAATCAGTGTTCAGGCATACGTAACACGTGGCCCAACCATCTCAATCGATGAAGATTTACAACCTCATCGATCGATTCACCATTATTTCCTAATAACATACGTCTAACCCCACCATTGCTTACCCGGTGATCCCACCAGATGCGAGCAATATTTCTAAGACATCTGTTGTCAAATACTAGTAGCTTACAAGCATCTTCTACTCTTAATGGCCACGTTTTGCAGCCGTAAAGTAGAACAGAACGAACTGCTGCGCAGTATACTCGTCCATTTATTGATAGACGGATATTTCGCCTTCGCCATAGGTGACGTAAGTTGGCAAGAGCCAAATGAGCTTTCTGAATCCGTACAGAGATTTCGTCCGATACCAACCCATTAGGGCTGATCAGACTCCCAAGACAAGTGAAGTTTTTGACGCGTTCGACTACTTCAATCCCTACGTAGCCCTTTTACCCTGAAGCTGTCTCCTTTGTGGTTATATGGAGTGAACCGATGTAACGGCTTACGTTATTCCTGTTATTCTGTTTAATTTGATCGGTAGGACTTGATTAAAGAGTCATTCTGTTACTGGTAGAGCTAATCTTTGAATGAATCACGACTATAGTCTTTCAAGTCACATCTTTGTACTGTAGAAAAGCATATTCTTATTGTTATAAGTTCTACTTCGATTAACTTACCTCTCGTTCTTCATTGTTACTATGACATACAGTCTACTATCTCTCGGCAGTATTATTATTCTGTCCTTTGATCCCTCATTATTTATGTATACCAGTTATATTTCAAATAAATACCATAAGTTTTTCTATACTGATCACAATCATACTAGATACTGACTAAGTTTTCATCACGGTCATAATTGTTCCTAATTCTTTCCCCACATGCTTATCTTATACCTGACATCAATCCCAGGTATCATGTCTGTCGACTATTGTTATTTTCACCTTTAAAGCCCTCTAGGATATTATAGTTAGTGTCCATAGGTCGAGGCTAAATGTTGTGTTCTTGATATCTCAGACTATCATATTGTTCCAGTTATACCGTAATATTGTTATGGCTTAATACCGTGTAATTACAGATTTTCGAAACGCTTTCTGGAGCTAATTAGCTTAGCTTAATTTTTTTTAGATCCGTTCTATGTTGAAGGGGATCTGGAAGATTTTGAAGAAGATGATCCTGAACGTCAGTTTTATGGAGATGAACAAAGTAATGAAGACGATGAAATCACGCCAGATATGTGGCAGGAAGCTTGTTGGATTGTTATAAGCAGCTATTTTGACGAAAAGGGCTTAGTCAGACAACAGTTGGATTCTTTTGATGAATTCATCCAAACATCGATTCAGAAAATTGTTGAAGATTCTCCCATTATCGAGTTACAGGCAGAAGCTCAGCATAGTGGTGGAATTTTAGAAAATCCCGTAAGTTGACCTATAACTTACACACATTCTTTTCTAGGTTCAATATCGTCTAAAATTCGAACAAATCTATTTGAGTAAAGCTACTCATTGGGAAAAAGATGGCTCCTCCGTGCCAATGACACCTAATGATGCAAGACTACGAAACCTGACTTATGCGGCACCGCTTTACGTCGATGTAATGAAGAAAATAGTTCGTGATGAAATTGAAGAGGAAAAGCCATTAGAAAAGAAGTTTATAGGCAAAATTCCGATTATGTTGAGGTAAAATATCCTTCTATAAATAAATGGCATACCTTTTCTAATTCACATATTTTTTAAGATCTACATATTGTCTTTTATCATTGATGAGTGATCGTGATCTTGCTGAATTAAATGAATGTCCTCTAGATCCTGGGGGATATTTCATCATTAATGGATCTGAGAAAGTTTTGATAGCACAGGAAAAAATGGCTACAAATACAGGTTTGTTTTACTGTTATCCGATTACCTAAAACGTGGAATTTTTATTTTAGTGTATGTTTTTAAACAAAAGGATAGTAAATACGCTTACAAGACAGAAATTCGATCATGTCTTGAGCATAGTTCCCGGCCAGCTAGTACATTATGGATTAATATGATGGCACGTGGTGGTAAAGATGGCAGTAAACGAGCTACTATTGGTCAAAGAATTGTGGCTATTTTACCATATATAAAACAAGAGATTCCAGTGTTAATTGTATTTCGTGCATTAGGTTTTGTCGCTGATCGTGATATATTAGAACATATTATTTATGATTTTGATGATACAGAAATGCGTGAAATGATTAAACCTTCTTTAGATGATGCATTTGTAATTCAGGTAAGTTTTAATTTACATTTTACCTCCAATTGTTTAGGAACAAAAAGTTGCACTTAATTTCATTGGTTCTCGTGGTGCACGACCTGGTGTAACGAAAGAAAAGCGTATAAAATATGCTAAAGAAATTCTTCAAAAAGAAACTTTACCACATGTTGGAGTATCAGATTTTTGTGAAACACGTAAAGCTTATTTTTTAGGCTATATGGTTCATCGTTTATTATTGGCTGCATTAAAACGTCGTGATGTTGATGATCGTGATCATTATGGAAATAAACGATTAGATTTAGCTGGTCCACTTCTTGCATTTTTATTTCGTGGATTATTTAGAAATCTTACTAAAGAAATTCGTTTATATGCTCAAAAATTTATAGATAAGGGCAAAGATTTTAATTTAGAATTGGCAATTCGTAGTCAAATTATTACAGATGGTTTAAAATATTCACTTGCTACTGGTAATTGGGGTGATCAGAAAAAAGCAAATCAAGCACGTCCAGGTGTTTCACAGGTAATGAAACTATAATTGTGAATGTAACATTTCTGTTCTCTTTCATCTATATATTTTAGGTGCTTAATCGTTTAACATTTGCATCTACTTTATCACATTTAAGACGACTTAATTCACCTATTGGAAGAGATGGAAAATTGGCAAGACCTAGACAGTTGCATAACACTTTATGGGGTATGATTTGTCCAGCTGAAACACCTGAAGGTCATGCTGTGGGATTGGTGAAAAATCTTGCCTTGATGGCATATATTTCAGTTGGAAGTCAACCATCACCTATTTTAGAATTTTTAGAGGAATGGAGTATGGAGAATTTGGAAGAAATCGCTCCTTCGGCTATTGGAAAGTAAGTAATTTTTCATGAATCAGTTTCGTTTTAAATCGTAATTCTGATTACTTATTGTTCATATCAAATGCTTAAATCTTTTATTTACTTTTATTATTGTTCTAGGACTTGTAAAATATTTGTCAACGGTTGTTGGGTTGGTATCCATAGTTCACCAGATCATTTAATGGGTACTCTACGAAAACTACGCCGTCAAGTTGATGTCATTGTTAGTGAAGTCAGTATGATTCGGGATTATCGTGATCAAGAGATACGAATCTATACAGATGCTGGTCGTATTTGTCGTCCATTAGTTATTGTTGAAAAAGGCAAATTACTATTGAAACGTAGTCACATTGAACTTTTAAAAGATAAAGCGTATAATCGTTACAGGTAAAATTCTATAATTTCTTTTTTTCGTTTGTGAAATAGAATTTCCCACTGTTTACAAAAGCCAAGACTGGTCAAAATTATTAGCAACAAATCAATCCTCTTTTTTTCGATATCATATACTGAATTTTGCTAAGCGACTAGAAAAGAGTTTGTTCAAGTCTTTAAACCTAGAAAACATATATCCCTATCGTAAATTTATCCCTCATAAAACAAAAATATGTGTTTAACCTAATATCTCTGGAATTCACCTGTTAGTATTAAGTGCTATTCATTAATGTAATCTTATGAAACTTGTTAGCCGTTTGTTAAATAAGGGATTTTTATAGATCATGAGTCAGTTGAAGCCAGACCACCATGGAAAACCTGGAAGCATTGGACGGCCGTTTCGTCCTATTGTGGGACTCCTCAGCAGTGCGCATCCACGACCTCGCCCCCTGCGAGATTCGGACCCAGGACCTACTGGTTTCGCGCGCGGGCAATTTACCACTAGGTCACTGAGCCGGTCGGCATCCAACGGTGTTAATGTCTAACTTCAACTAATCGACGAAATTGAGCGACACATCCACCATTGTCTCCAGTGAGTTACTATCTCACAACAGACCTGGTTGAACTCCACTGGTCACTACTTCTTACTAGAACTCCAGGATATACCTCTTGAAGCCAGTCGCTGGTGAGCATATGTTGATTAATATCAGGTGAGTTTTGTGGATATTATAGTAATTTCAATGATTTAGATCATGAGTCAGTGCTTCCAGGTTTTCCATGGGGGTCTAGCTTCAACTGACTCATGATCTTAATAATTGAAATTACTATAATATCCACAAAACCGATCTGATTTTTGTAGGGTTTTAGCTCTAATAATACAGTAAGAGTTGAGTAGCTACTAGTAGATTAACCGGAAAAACTCATTAAAGGTCGATTACAGTCGGAAGACTATCTTTGTTTCTCGGAATATATTGATTTATGAATATATATGTAAATAATAAATGGTTCTATAATAAATAATTATTAGCTTCAATTTAAAAAAAGTCTCACATTTAAAATGATAAACTTAGAGACAACAATTAACTCTCAGCACAGATAAGTCTAAAAATGACCATAGTAATATAACCCAGCCGATAAAATGAACAATGAACGAGGAAGATCTGATGCAGACGTAAAGGCAAGGATTAGCAAGGCAAGTACAACATTCTTACAATTGAAGAACATATGGAGCTCAAAACAGCTGTCAACCAATACCAAAGTTATAATCTTCAATACGAACGTCAAGATAGTTCTACTGTACGGAGCTGAAACATGGAGAACTACCGCGACCATTATCAAAAAGGTGGAAGCATTTGTAAACGATTATTTACTCAAGACACTCAATGTCTGTTGACCAGATACCATCAAAAAACAGACTATCATGGGAGAGAACAAACCAGCTTCCAGCTGAAGAGAAAATTAAGGGAAAACGATGGAGGTGAATAAGATATAGATTACGGAAATCACCGAACTACATCACGAGACAAGCGCTAACTTGGAATCCCAAGGGGAAAAGGAAAAAAGGAAGACCAAGGAACACATTACGTCGGGAGTCGGGAGCAGACATAAATAATATAGAATAAAGAGTAACTGGAAAGGATTGCCCACGACAGAGTTAGATAGAGAATGTTGGTGTGCCGATCCTCCATGAGGTGTAACAGGCATAAGTAAGCAGCCGATGAAATATGTTTTTGATTAAGCAGTTAAAATACAAGGAAGAAATTATACGAACGAAAGCTAGCTACTCATGAGTAATACAGTTATCTTAGACAATTTCACACATCTGAGGTTTGGTTCTGGAATAACTTATTTATCAACCACAGACAACAAACAATCTGATACGAATACATATCAGCCCAATTTCTAACACCTCACATGCAGCACAACGAGAGAAATAAACTCAAAAGATGGAGTAATTAAAGCAATAAAATAATAACATAAGAGGTATGATTCAGAAGGAATAAATGAGATTAAAGAATAGAAAGTATGTAGTGAAATTACATTTAAGCTATGAAAGGAAAATAGCAAATAAAGGTAACTGATGTATCACTATGGTCGGTTTTGACTCATTATCAACTAATATCTTCAATTATTGATATTACAGTTATTGGTTGTATCTCAACAAAAAAGTTTCTGTTTAAGCCAGTTGTTATTGAATTTATCGTTTGACCGCTCCTAGCTTTGTTCCGACCTCTTTTATTACTTTTAAAGTGATAATTCTCAGTTTTAATTTGAGGTCTTTTGTCTAAAGACCCCGTATCTGAACGAATAGTTTTATTTTATTTTATTTATTTAAACACATAAACATAGGTACAAGAAGGCACCAAATAAGATATGCGCCACATAAATCATTCGATTTGTGTGACGGTTAGAATACTGCCCGGGTGCCCAAACCGAAGCAGGTGGTTTTCTTAGGTGGCCACTCCCCAAGCCTTTGACCCGAAGGTCTGATCCACAAGGCAGTGGAGCATCGTAAGGAGATGCAGTCCCATGGAAGCCGGTGACCAATAATCGACTCATACACCATTTGTTCCTTCAGGATCGTGGAGTCCATTGAGAAATCATTTTGTCCTAAGTCCAGTTAACATATTCTAATCGCTTATGAATTCACTATGGTGAATACAACAACTAAGAATTAATAGTATTTGTTAATGTGTCATGAATGCATAGTCTTTCTCTAAATATCTGTATACAAAACACCTCTAGCATGTCTACTTGAATCATTGCACATTTACGCGGCTTTTTATGTTAATGAAGTTTATTTCCGTCTGTGTAGAACACCACTGTACAATTTATTTGATGAATGTGCATATTAATAAGATTGCTCTATATTTCTATAACATTTATTATTATTATTGCATGATTATTCAATTTAGCTGGCAAGATCTTGTACTCAGTGGTGTAGTTGAATATATTGATACATTAGAAGAAGAAACTGTTATGATTGCTATGGGTCCAGCAGAAATGCAAGCTGCTGTAAATTATTGTAAAACACATACACATTGTGAAATTCATCCAAGTATGATATTAGGTATATGTGCTAGTATTATACCATTCCCTGATCATAATCAATCACCAAGAAATACATATCAAAGTGCTATGGGTAAACAAGCTATGGGTGTGTATATTAGTAATTTTCATACAAGAATGGATACATTAGCTAATGTATTATATTATCCACAAAAACCATTAGTTGCTACACGATCTATGGAGTATTTACGTTTTAGAGAACTTCCAGCAGGTGAGTACTGTTTGTTGTTGTTGTTGTTGCTGTTGTATTTGTATATACGTTATTTAGTTTTGAGTAGCTACAAATTTTACATAAAGACTAATAATACTATTTTATTTAGTTGCATTGGCTCAGAATCGATCACAATGGTGTCAGTGTATACACTATCTGTCTTCCCTTAAACTAAGAGATTAGAATCGCTTCATATCTTTCTTTCTACGAACTAATTCTTTCTTCCTGTATTATATTCTTATATACAATCTTTCTTTTATATATTAGCACCATTGAGTTAACTACTTCTTTGAATCCGGTGTTCATCTTGTGCTAATGAGGTATGGCAACTTTGACCGATGCATGTATGTGCCTGATCCTACGTTGTAGCTGACGGATTGATTTTGTTGCATAAATTGAACGAGATGAATTTGTTATAATTTAAAGATCAATAATAGTTATTCTAAATTATAAACGATTGCGAGATTCTTCTATTACGAACAGGATCTATGCGAACTGGATAGGCGGGACAACTGATTTACAAGCTTACCATTCAAGGAGTTTAAATTTACAATGAAACAACTCTGTTTGTACTGCGGCAAATATAAAGGCGGAAACAAGCAATCAGATAATAAGAAAGGTCAGCGGAGAAATCTGAATTTGGAAAACGTTATGAACAATTAAAACACTAGATAATCTGAAGTTTTCCTGGCAGAATCGAAACTTAAACCTGCTGTACAATGGTTGAAACCGGAATCATTTAATCAGTAATTTATCACCCTGTCATTGTTATATCGCATATTCTAACCAAGAAGCATACACTAACCTAGGCATAATGGCGACTAAAATCACGAATTTGTAAATTCATGGATCGATTCTGTGTCTTATTTGTCACCCGTCATACTTCGTGGATGGTATCACATGTATACTTTATTCGTATGATTGATAGTAAATTTAGTCATTTAGTAAATTGTAAATCATATGTGCCAGAAGTTTATTTTACACCATTGAAGAATATTTTAGTGGTTCCTCCATGTTATTGATTTTCTGTGAATGGAACAAGTTATACTCACCTTCTTTTCTTATATTGACAAATAAACTGAATATCGTCTAAGCTGTATATCCACTCTCTGTGTTCTCCCAAATTCTAATCTTCTGAATTCTTCATGTCCTTTTTTTCCGCTTTCCAAATTTATTTCACTGGATTATACTCTTTAAATAACATCTCCAAACCCTAATCTTCCCGATTATTGCTTATACTCTTATTACCTCTACCACTATGAGATTTGAATCGACAACTGCATCTCTGTGCTAAGGTGGTGTGGCAACTCGAACTGATGTACGTACGTACGAAGTTCTACGTTGTTACTGACTGACTGACTAAGCTGTATAAATAAAATTCTAAGATCATGCAAGGATAGTAGAGAAGTTTCATTTGCTTGTTTATTTCTGATTATGATATATCTTCATTTACAAGACAACTTGTTTATCTAGATGGGCGATTCAAAACTGTTTCACTTGAGTGCCGTTTTAATCAAAATGTTTTTATTTCTCTGCTGAATCAGCTTTGGGAAAATGGGGGGGGGGTAAATGCATTTTCTCAGTGCTAAGAGTGTTGATCTGTGTTTAAAAAACTATGTTTTCACTCTTCAGAGGTAAAGATTGGAGGTTGTGTGACCTGATTCTCGCGATTAGTAGTACCGTAAACATCTAACCTGTCTTTAAACATATTGACAGATTGTCGTGATACTATTTTTTATGATAAAGAATTCCAATAATTCATGACTAGGTGTGAGAAAGACAAAACTTCAGATGTAAACTCAATTGGGTTTTAGTTCTCGGACTTTCTCAGAATATCTTTTCAGATCATCCGTGCTAAATAGAAGAATTAGATATGTTGATATCACGAACACACAACTTACTGTAAGTCAGTATTACATCATGTTTTAATATGCGATAAGATAGCATAAATAGGCATATCTATGTATTTTCGTAAGACAGATCTTCCACCATTTTGATCCCTTACTAGTGAACTTATCCTAGCAAACAAATAAAATTGATAACGACAATCGATTGTGTAGTGACTTGAGGATAAATTAATATTTTCACAGTTTAAATCACGGACTGATCTGAACTAGATCACCCTTGAAAACCTAGAAGCACTTAACGGCCGTTTCGTTTTAGTATGGGATCTCTTACCAGTGCGTATCCATGACTTCGTATGCGAGAATCTAACCCTGAAGGACCTTCGGTCTCGCGCTTGGACGTTTAGCTCGTAGATCACCGAGCCTATATCCAACGGTGTTAATATCTAACCTCAGTCAATTCACTATATTGCTCAGTCACCATCCATTCGCTGTGGTTGATAATTTTCTCACATCCAACACCGATCTTATTACGCTAGTCATTATTTCTAAAAAAATATTGCTTATGTAAATTATTAGGTTTTTCTGTTTCCCTATTGTTACCGTAGTTTATTATATAATTAGGTATCAATGCAATTGTTGCAATTGCAACATATACCGGTTATAATCAAGAAGATTCTGTGATTATCAATGAAAGTGCTATACAACGTGGTTTCTTTCGATCAGAATTTTATCGTACTTATAAAGATCAAGAAACACGACATGGTATGGATTTAGAAGAAGTATTTGAAAAACCAAATCCACAAAATTGTCAAGGAATGCGTCATGCTATCTATGATAAATTAGATGATGATGGATTGATTGCACCTGGTACTAGAGTTTCTGGTGATGATGTATTGATTGGCAAAACAATTACTTTACCAGAGAATGAAGATGAGGTAAGTGATATTTTTATATTTTCGGTAGTATTGGGATTCAGTCTGTCAAACGCGATGTAGAAACTGGGGAATGTGTGTATCGATTCAAGTTGTCAGACCTCACTAGCATAGCGAGATGAAGTTTTCCTGGTAAAATCTCATGGTAATAGAGGTAGTAACAGTATTTGCGATCATAGAAAAGATAAGGCATCGAAGAAAATTTCCGAGAAAATGTAAATGGATTACAAAAATGTTGAGTTTAGAAACATAGTACTAGTTAAAAATGGGAAATCTATTGATGACGCTGTAAATCTTCATCGATTGAAGTTTCTGGAACTTATATTATATCTGTTTGACCACGTCAATATCCAATCGTAGTTGGCCTAGAGGTAGGCTAGAAAAAAAAATTAAGAGTGGTCAATCTAAGGCGTGCCATCATTCTATCAAGTCATTAATTCCTTGACTAAGATGTGTTGGTTAAGTAATGACTACTTGATTAAGATTTATCAGATTATCGTGACAAATGGCTGAAAATTTTCAATGATGTGGCTTAGAATCAGTCACAATCACTCAGATACATTCACTCTTTGACTTCTCTTATATGTTGAGTTTTAAAATATTCTTATAATTTTTATTCTACTACTCTGACATTTATCTTTATAATTTCATCTTACTATGCTAATATAGTGTAGCAACTTGAACTGACCCACATATGTACCAGGTTCAGTGTTGGTTATGGTTGAGTAACTGACTTCATTTTAATCTGATCATCCTTAGTTTCTTTTTCTATCCTCTCCCAACTCAACTATAGTCGTAGTAGTAGTGGTGGTTATATAATGCGATGAAGATCAGAAAAGATATCATTTTCTAATGATAATTTTAGATTATCTATGTATTTTGAAAGACGAATGAATCAAGGCCAACAATCGTAGTGTTTCTTGACATCAGGGCTGCCTTCGACTCGTTGGATAGGACTGTTCTCTGGGATTGTCTATTGAAGAAGGGTGTGCCTGAGAAGTTTATTAACATCCTAAAGGCCCTATATACAAACACCTCAGGCAGAGTGAGGGCATACAACCACCTCTCTCCTTTGTTCCATTCGAGCATTGGGGTTAGGCAGGGTTGCCCAATCTCACCATTCCTCTTCAACTTTCCCATCGGTGACATTCTGGAAACAGCTCTGATGGGTGTAAGTAATTGAGGTGTGGATCTGTTGCCTGGAGAAAGACTTCTCGACCTTGAGTATGCGGGCGATAGTCTTACTGTGCGATAATGCCCAAGGCATGCAATCCGCACTTAATCAGTTGCCAATCAGTGTCCGAAAGTATGGTATGTGCTTTGCACCTTCGAAGTGCAAAGTACTTCTACAAGACTGGCAGGATCGTAATCCTGTACTCACCCTGGATGGTGAGCAGATAGAAGTAGACGAGAAGTTCTTGTATCTCGGTAGCTGCATAAGTGCTGGTGGTGGAGTGAGTGATGAGATCAATGCACGTATAGTGAAAGCCAGATCGGCTTATGCCAACCTGGGCCATCTTTGGCGCCTTCGTGATGTTAGTCTGGCTGTAAAAGTTCGGATCTACAACGCGTCGGTGAGAGCAGTTTTGTTCTATGCTCGTGAAACCTGGCCTCCCCGAGTTGAGGACGTTAGACGACTCTGTGTCCGATCACCGCTGTCTCCGAAGGATTGCTGACATCTAGTGGCAATACCATGTTAGTAATGCAGAGGTTCGGCATCGTGTGTTCGGGCACAGAGACGATAATGCAATTGGTGTCACCATCCTGAAACACCGACTTCGGTAGCTTGGACATGTTCTACGAATGTCGTCCCAGAGAATTCCACGTCGTTCATTATTTGCCGACTCTGGGACTGGTTAGAAAAAGTGGAGAGGTGGTCAGTGTATGAAATGGTGTCGTGGTATGAAAGAAAGCTACGAAGGACTGGCTTCTGTTGGTCCTTCACGACTCCCTGGTTGGGGTCAGAGAGATGGTGCAACACAGTGGCTAGAGACGTTATCAGATATGGCTCAGAATAGAAGCCAGTGGGGATCCTGCTATAACCTTCTTTTACTTTCTTCATAAAAAATGGTTACATCTTCCTTAGCTGAAAGATTTCTTCTGATTTTACCTTTCCGTTTCCCCCATTATTACTATTATTATTATTATTATTATTACACTACCTTACACTAATCTGTCCGTTATAGTTCTTTTTTTCTCTTGGAATTCTCATTGTTTTGTGTGGCGCATATATATTTGATGCCCTTGATAAGTCGTGTAGGTTGAACGCTATATACGAATCCTAAGCTATTCCCGTAACCCGCAAACTAGAACTACACAGCGACTTGAACTCCAGAAAGAAGACACAAGTATGAGAGAATACACTTTATCCCAAGGTTCATTCTAGTTCAGAAAATCAAGGGTATTTATAGATGTTGGCGTCTGTCAAATTAACATCATATTTCAGCCAATCCGTTAACGTCATATTATGCTACCGACCAATGGTAGCACGCCACGCTGGAATTCTCGAACGTTCCATCATACTCTGATTGGCTAGGCCCTTCGGCTCCTTTTTGGGCCTCTGGAGGCTCCGTTGAAGTTCTCCGGAAGCCGACCCAACAGCCCTCTTGTACCAATATTTGTGTTCAAATAAATAAATAAGTAATAAACATTATTTCATTGAAGGTGACAAAATATTTCTACAAGTGTATGTAGTTAAAGCGACTGCAATCGTTATGACAATTGTTTATCCACTTACCAGATTACAGAAATCTTGGTTTTTTTTGTTAATTCATATGGTTTACTGTCATCTATGTACATTGTAAAACAATCATCTTTTTTTTAATCGTCTTAAAGCTGATAATTTAATACAAAAGTAAACGGATGTCGTTTGACAAGAAATCCCTCAAAGTAGTTGATTATTCATATATTCAGTGATGTACGTGTATATAATTAGCGAAGAATACTGTCAGTGGTAGTACGTCTGTGAATGTTTATTTATTTAAACATATAAATATTGGTAAAAAGAGGCACCAGATACACATGCACAACACAAATCACTTAATTTTTGTGTGGGCTGTGATACTATCCGGGTGCGCAAACCGAATCAGGTGGTTCTATTAAGGGGCCACACCCGGAACCTTTGACCTAAAGGTCTAATCCACAAGGCAATGGAGCAACGTCAGGAGATGCAATCCCATAGTAGCCGGTGACCAACGATTGGTTCATACGCCATTTGTTCCTTCAGGATCGTGGAGTCCATTTGTACGATTGGTTCGGAATGTGGGTTTTCCAACTCCCCTATGTGAACTCTGTGTTCACCAACCCGGTTAAATCATCGGTCATTTGCTTTTCGTCCTCTCAATTTCGTAACCAATACCCCGTCACGAGAAGGTTGTGAGTAGGACTTCCCTGGTAGTGGCAGTATATGCGTGGCCATGTGAGAGCGTTTCTAGAGAGTGAGAACTGACTCTCCCCACCCTCGGCCATACCATGGCATTTGAAGGCATCTGTGAATGAATTAATGAAGATCATACTGTAAAAGGTTCATTCCAACAAATTACTTTTTTACTAGCTTTTATTTTTGAATAGTTGTATGTTTAGTTAAAGAGGTTTCATGGAGATTGGTTTAGTTTGTATGGGATATGCGTCACTGATTAGTTGTAGTTAGGATAGTATCACCGAAAACCAGGAAGTATTGAACAATTGTTTTGTCCTAGTATAGGGCTTCTCAACAATGTGTTCACTTGACATTGCCAGGGATCGAACCTAAGATTTTCGGTTTTCGTTGTGGACACCACCTAACCATTAAAACTATTTAGTCAAATTTCAATGGTGGTGTAATTCCAACTTCAATGAATTTGTAATTTGGGTAGACGATCATCTAATACCATTGATACCATTGATGGCAAGTGTTTTATTTCCGACTTGTCTGAAATTCTGCAGTCATGAAGTAACACTAAAATCTCATTAAATGTTTGAAGTAAGTCATTAATAAATTGATGATTATCGTTTACTTAAGGTGGTTTTATAAAGATCAGTTTACTTTATAGGTTAAATATATATCACACACTAATCTCAGTTAGGTTAGCATTTTATTTGACTTAATTAATGATCTTTTCTTATCTTTTGACGTTACAACTGTTTCTTAATTCATCATAATTAAGATCATACAACTTGAGTAAATGATATTTTTCAAGAGAAAGCTTTCTTCGTTGAAAACTGTCTCGAATAATTTAATGATTCAATGGGTTTCTTTCGTCATGTGTTAATAATATACTACTTACTAAGTAGCTTAAATTTGTGTGCGTAAATTTATTTCACAAGTAATTAATCCATTCGGGCATTTCGTTTATTAACTTGCTTGTGTTCATATATAAGGACTTAATTATGACGGTACTTATTCTATTTTTATCACTCTTAGAATAAAATGAGAAACATAAATGTTGGAAAAAAGATTAGTGATCACTTTTAAGATCAAACATTTTTCACCTTTGAAGTATTGTACTTTATTTGGATCGTTGTTAGGTGGGGCCGAACTCTATGTCTAACATGTGCTGCATATTCGGTGTTTTTTTGCTACCAAATGCCCTGGTACGGCCGAGAGTGGGGAGAGTCCGTTCTCCCTCTCGAAATACTCTCACATGGCCAGACGTATATAGCCTCTGCCAGAAAAGTCCTACTCTCACTACCTGCTCGTGACGGGGGTGTTGTTTACGAAATTGAGAGAATGAAAAGTGAATGTTCGGTGCTTTAACCGGGTTGATGAACATGGAGAGTCCACCTAGAGGAGTTTAAAAACCCTGATTCTAAACTAATGGTGCACATGGGCTCCAGTATCCTGAAGGAACAAATGGCGTATGAACCAATCGTTGGTCACCAGCTACTATGGGGATGTATCTCCTGACGTTGTTCCACTGTCTTGTGGGTCAGACCTTCAGGTCGAAAGCTCGGGGAGTGGCCCCCGGGCAGTATCACAGCTCTCATACATATATCAAATGAGATTTGTGTGTATCTGGTGCGCCTTTGTACCAATGTTTATGTTTAAATAAATAAATGGCAATAGTTATTCATTTATCCAGTATTAATATATATATATACCCATAGATAATCACAATTGATTGATCACTGAGTGGTGATCAATGTCATGCGTGTCTACGTTGTTACTGACTGACTGACTGACTGTCTAGTCCTTATTAGTGCAAATCGAATGCTGTCGATCATGTTGCAATGTGGCCGTCGATAGCATTCGATCTGCACTAATAAGAACTAGACACGCATGACATTGATCACCACCCAGTGATCAATCAATTGTGATTACATCTCAGTCCTACAGGAGAACGGTCGCAGCTCGGATAGCTCAGTGGTAAGGTCTCTGACTATGAAGCTGGGTAACATGAGATCGAATCCGCTAGGGAGCACCAGTTCCCTCAAGATTACGGGGACACCTTGCTGACGAGTGTGAAGTAGCACGAAACTCGAATCCAGTGTTTTCTGTCGACTACCTCCAACCACCATCTAAATACCCATAGATAGTTAGATAGGTGATGAATATCGTTGTATATTTATCATAATCATTAAAAACCAATCATCAATTCAATATGAATTACACATAGATCATTATCTTTTCTTCTTTTATCCTTTATACATGATTCTATGGATATTCCAACTCATTATATGTACATATATATATGTTGTTATTAATCTCTATGAATCATATCCCAAAAACTCTACACAGAGATATCTAGTGTTGAATATGAATATACCATTAACAGAGTATAATTATAATGAGTCATTTAGATTTCAACTTTTTTCTTTTCTTTTTTTCTTTTTTCTTTTCTTTTTGGTAATTTTCTTTCTTCTTTTTTTTCTAAACTACTCTTATAGAGTATTTTCTATCATCAATGACAATGATGAATATGTCTGTCGCTTATTTGATTTTTAAAAAATGTATTTTTTTTACATCTTGTCATTTATCTTTATACGTTTATTCAATTGCTTTTTTCTTTCTTTCTTTCTTTTTGTTGTTGTTGTTGTTGGTGGTGGTGGTGGTGGTTGGGGTGGTGATTGAACTATTGAAGATGTTCAACATCGACAAATCGATTTAGAAAGAAAAGAAAACATTTGCCAGTATAGGGGGTTGTGGAGATGATTAATTTTTTGTGATTGAGATCATGAATTAATTGATGTTAAAACAACCATTGGAAACATGAAAGCACTGAACGGCCATTTCATCCTATTGTGGGACTCCTCAGCAGTGTGCAGTGCTACCAGGTTTTCAACGGTTGTTTTAACATCAATTGGTTCATGATCTCAACAACAAAAATACATCTGCTTATACTCTTATTACCTCTACCACTACGGGATTTGAATCGAGAACTGCATCTCTGTACTAATGTGGTGTGGCAATTCGAACTGATGTACGTACGTACGAAGTTTTACGTTGTTACTGACTGACTGACTGAATACATCTGTTAGTTTCTTTTTTTTAAAGATTTGTTTGTTTGTTTACAGTTTTGAAGGTAATGAAGTGTGTGTTGTTTTATCCAACACTTTCAATGATTATTACGTCTGTTTATATAGTTAGATTCAAAGTGCATAGATTTTCATCAGATCGTAAGTAAGGACTAGGTGTTCACTATTTCCATTTTTTGTTTTATTTCATTATAGACCTACTAATGGAACTTAAGTTCTTATCGACTAAATTTTTGGACATTGATTTTCTATCAGGAGGTCCATTTATTGACTTAACATACGCACATGACATAGTCCTGTTTGGTGACGACGCTGATAAAATGCAGATTCTTCTAGTAACACTGCGCAACAATACTAGAATGTTTGGGATATGTTTCTCCCCCTCTAAATGCAAGTTTTCGCTCCAGGATTGGCCTGTGTCAACACCTAAACTAAGGATATGGAGTAAAGTAGTAGAACACGACGATAACTTCGCTTACCTTGGATGTCTGATCAGCCCCAATGGGTTGGTGTGTGATGAAATCTCATCACAGATTCAAAAAGCTCATTTGGCTTCTGCCAACTTATGTCACCTATGGCGAAGGCGAAATATCCGTTTATCGATTAAGGAACGAGTATACTGCACAGCAGTTCGTTTTGTTCTACTTTACAGCTGCAAAATGTGGCCATCACGACTAGAAGATATTTGTAAGCTACTAGTATTTGACCACAGATGTCTTAGAAATATTGCTCGCATCTGGTGGGATCACCGGGTAAGCAATGGTGGGGTTAGACGTATGGTATTAGGTAATGATGACAAATAAGTTGATGAGGTTGTAAATCTTCCTCGACTGAGATGGTTGGGCCACGTGTTACGTATGCCTGAACACTGATTACCACGACGCGCAATGCTGACTAGTGTTGGAGACGGTTGGAAGAAAGTTAGAGGCGGTCAAACCAAAATGTGGCATCAGTACTTGAAGTCACTAACTTGTGGTCTGAGCCACGTTGGTAGATGCAGACTACTTGGTTGGAGTCCTCATGACTATCTTACTCAATGGTTGGAGACTGTGTGCGACATGGCTTAGAATCGATCACAATGGCGTAGGTGGATACACTCTTTGTCTTCCTTTAAACTATGAGATTAAAATCGCTTCATATCTTTCTACGTACAAATTCTCTCTTCCTGTAATATATCCTTATATTCAATCTTTCTTCTATATATTGGTACCATTAAGTTAACTACTTCTTTGAATTTTGTGATCATTTTGTTATACTAATGTGGTGTCGCAACTTGGACCGATGCATATGTGCCTGATCCTACGTTGTAGCCGATTGACTGACTAGGACTACGTGGATATCGTGGTTTCTTTTGTTCATGATCATTTAATACTGGGTTCTTGTTTTAGATACACAGGTACAACTTTTCTTCACTTAGAAAAGTTAACATGATTGAGTTTTTGATGTATATTTTTATTTAACTGTTCTTACACATCATTTAGATGGAAGGTGGACAACGACGATATACTAAACGTGATGCTAGTGTATTTATGCGTCGTAGTGAATATGGTATAGTTGATCAAGTTATGGTCACATGGAATAATGAAGGCAATAAATTTTGTAAAGTACGTGTACGTACTACAAAAGCACCGCAAGTTGGTGATAAATTCGCTAGTCGACACGGACAGAAAGGTACTTGTGGAATTCGTTATCGTCAAGAAGATATGCCATTCACATGTGAAGGAATTACACCAGATATTATTATTAATCCACACGCTATTCCTAGTCGTATGACTATTGGACATTTAATTGAATGTTTACAAGTAAGTGATTTTGTTTTATAAATATTTATTTAATTTTCTGTATTACAACTATTGTATTTCTCACGAGTTCGTTAATGATTGTTAGTGATAGGTCGCGGGTTCGAGTCCAGTTCTGTCAACTTTATTTTTACAGCAATTGGTTATTTCTTTACTTTGTTACGCAATACTTGCATTCATGATTAAAAGCAAGTTGATAATATCAGGAATTCGTCACTTTGAACGCAAGGATACGTCGAAACAGTCACCTGGTAGTTAAAATATTCAATACCAAGTTACTTAAAATGTAAAGCTATTTATACGTTTAACATACTGAAATGTGCAATGGATTGTTGTTTCTATAATCTTGATCATGTTCGAAAAACGATTTCTATGTATGTTTACGTATAACATATTGACAGAACTGTTCTAAATCCAAATAAGGTTAATTCAATTCCAAATACTTGCACAATTAAAAAAACATAAACATTAATTCAAAGGGATACCAAAATTTGTCTGAAGGTTGGGATACGATCCAAATGCTCAATACGAACACCTAACCACGAACCTCATCTTTAATAGCCAAAAATATTCAACTAATCAGTTATAACTTATGCCAATTTCTTTAGAGTCTACTTGGTTATTGAAATAGAATTTTTGTAATCTAAAATAACATGATTTCAATCTAATTAAAAACTGGTCCATCAGGGTGCTTGGTACCTGTGTGGTTGCGCCACAGGATTGAGCTGTACTATTCAGATTGTAGCGTTAAAGCCCATACGGTGTCTGGTTCACCTGCTAAACGAGGTTGAGCTGTACTGTTTGGGTTTTCACGTGAAAGTCCGGATGGTGTCTGGTTCTCCTGAAAACCAATGTAAAATTACCCTGGCCCACAAGGGTATATTATATAACTGTGACCTAATTCGGTTTGGGCACCCGGGCAGTATCACAGCCCTCACGCATATCAAATGAGGTTTGTGTGGCGCATATGTATTTGGTGCCTCCTTGTACCAATATCTATGTGTTAAAATAATTAATAAATAATAACTAAAAACTACAGATAAATCTGTTGTCTCTAGTCCATAAAAATCAGTTCTGCATCTCCTTACGTTGCTCCATTGCCTTGTGGATCAGCCCTTTAGGTCAAAGGCTCCGGGTGTGGGGCCCCCTAAGAAAACCACCTGATTCGGTTTGGGCACCCGGACAGTACCACAACCCCCACACAAATCAAATGAGATTTGTGTTGTGCATATGTATCTGGTGCCCCCTTTGTACCAATATCTATGTGTTCAAATCAATAATAAATAAAACCACTTACTGACATGTCATTGTTCTTTCTTTAATAATTCATACAATGTGACTGTTTTATTTCTAGGGTAAAGTTAGTGCAAATAAAGGTGAAATTGGTGATGCTACACCATTTAATGATGCTGTAAATGTACGTAAAATTTCATTACTTTTACAAGAGTATGGTTATCAACATACCGGTAATGAAATTATGTATAATGGATTTACTGGAAGAAAATTAAATTCACAAATTTTCTTAGGACCAACTTATTATCAACGTTTAAAACATATGGTTGATGATAAAATTCATAGTCGTTCTCGTGGTCCTGTTCAAATACTTAATCGTCAACCTATGGAAGGTCGTAGTCGTGATGGTGGTCTACGTTTTGGTGAAATGGAACGTGATTGTCAAATAGCACATGGTGCAGCACAATTTCTACGTGAACGTTTATTTTTTGCTAGTGATCCATATCAAGTGTATGTTTGTAATTTATGCGGTCTTATAGCAATTGCTCATCAACGTAATAAAACTTATGAATGTAGAAGCTGTAAAAATACAACTCAGGTTAGTTAATATTAATAGTGTGTGTATTTGTTTTTTCTACATTGAATAAATGTTCTGTTATTCTCATCTGAAAAACTTTATTCCACAATGACACGATCGTTAAGTTTGTCAATCGCGATAGCTCAGTCAAGCTTTATTAGCTGGGACAATAGTTATCCTAGATCTTCCATTGTCAAGTGGAAGTGGTAAGTGGCTTCAAGCAGTGAACCCAAGATCCGAGGACAAAATCATTCTGCTAAGTGTACTAAAATACAATAACAATAAGGTGTTCCTCTCGGACAACCAACATTTACGGTAATACTACTTTTGCGCAATAAGTGGCACTAAATATGGTACAGTCCACTTGATCCTACGAATTGTTAGTGCCCATGGTATGGTTTAGAAAGTGAAGGACTGATAGATTAGAAACTACTCCCATAACATCGTGTATGATCGATCTCAAACAACTCTTTGTGATCGTAGCCTGAAGTCAATACATCTATCACTAACATAGTTTGTTCCTCAAGAAAGAACTATATGTTCATAGTGTATCCCGACCGAAGCTGCTACCTTGACGCGGTGGTCGGGCTTGCCTATCGTGATGATCTATCCGAGCTATATTGGCTAGAACATGTGTTCCTGTAGGTTCTACCATGCCAAGCAGGTTGATTGGAGAACGGTAAGACTAAAAGCAGCAACTCAAGGTCTGAGGGCGAAGTCGTACTGCTGACTGTAGAGGGCTGTGACAGCAGTAAGGTGTTTCCCTCGGGCAACTAGCATCTGTAGCGATGCTGTCTTCCCACAAGGAGGGGTGAGGTTAGAAAAGGTCGACCCTAAAAATGTCACATCTCACCTTACCTTACGGATTTCCGTCTCCGGCGGTAAGGCCCTTTGAATAACGGAGCTAACACATTAAAAACCTTCCACGAAAATGCCGTGCGCGACCGGCCTCAAGCAGTTGTCCCTTGGGCTCTGCGGTCACGCTCCCAGGTCGTTAAGACCAACACTAATCCGACTTCTTTTTCAGGTTCCTCAAGAAATACCCTTCCACGGTGTGGGCGGCAGCCGGGAAGTGATATCAGCCCTCATACCCGTAACAGCACACAAGACCAAGTTGGTCACATTCAAATCCTTCCTACACCTCCTAATACCTCATAGTGTATGACCAAGCAGAACATGACAATAACCTATATTCATTTAGCAACATATGACAGATTTTCTATGCATCATATAGCGTAAATAAACTAATTGAAACAGGGGAAACTGTACATAACTTTATGCATGTCTACCAAGTGAAATTCCCTTAATTGATAAAACAAAACGATAAACAGGGCATATATGTATATTGTTGTTGTGCCCAAGAATGAGAATTGTAAGGAAGGAAGGAAAGAAGGCATATTGATCACTTAGTTTTATAATATAAGAGAAGGATCTGATTTGATTGTAAAGTTGTCTTTTGACAGTGGATTTCTGAATTAACCAATTAGTGGACTATCGTCCACTAATTCACGATTGTACATTTCTTATTATTTCTGTAATTCATTTATGTAATTCATTCCCCTAATCTTCCCGATAACTGCTTATACTCTTATTACCTCTACCACTACGGGATTCGAATCGACAACTGCATCTCTGTGCTAATGTGGTGTGGCAACTCGAACTGATGTACGTACGTACGAAGTCCTACGTTGTTACTGACTGACTGACTTTTTTACTTTATATGCTTACGATGATAGTTGGTTATGCATGATATATGCGGATTAGTCCAGTTTTTGTTGTTTTTTTAAACACCAAATCTCAAAACTATTGATTTAATGATTCTTTGAATTCTTAGTCTATCCAAATCTCTTAGGCTCAATTAGTTTATAGACAATGTTCAATATGGGATTAGCAACACATAATTCACTTAGTTAAGCATTACTTTTATTTAAATAAAATTACTACTTATAAAACGCTCGGACATGCGATGTTTTATGGTTTAGGAGTAGGTTAGAAGAAAACTAGGGGCGGTCAGATCAAAACATGGCACAAGTCCATGAAATCACTGACAATTGGACTGAGTCATGTTGGTAGGTATAGATTACCTGGTTGAGGACCGCGAGATGATAGCAACCGATGGTTAGAGACATTGAATGACATGGCTCAAAATCGTTTGCAATGGTGTGCGCAGGTGCATCTACTCTTTGTGTTCGCCTAAATTATAATCTCCGGAATTCTCCTTGTCTCTTTTTTTTCTCCCTCCAAATTTATTTCACTGGATTATACTCTTTCAATAACATCTTCAAACACTAATCTTTCCGATTACTGCTTATACTCTTACCGCCTCTATCACTACGAGATTTGAGCCGACAACTGCATCTTTGTGCTAATATGTTATGTCAACTCGAACTGATGTACGTACGTACGAACTTCGACATTGTTACTAACTGATGATAATTGTTGATGAAACATTTTCATTATTTTGTTGTTGTTGTTGTTTTTTCATTGCTTTTAATAGATTTCTTTAGTGAAATTACCCTATGCCTGTAAATTATTATTCCAAGAATTAATGTCAATGTCAATTGCACCGAGGATGATGATCAATAGTCCTGCGGCTTAATGATAAACAAAAAAAAAGAATCATGTGAAGAAGGAAAGAAGAGATGAATTACTCTATCTGTCCATGAATTTCAGGCTTTATCATCATCGTCATCATCATTCACATTGTATTGAGACTTGTTTTGCTTTTTTTTTCCTGTTTCTTTGTACATACAACTTTTTTGCATTATCATTTGTGTTTTGTCATCTTTAATTAAAATAACATTGATATTGTCTATACGTGTATGTGGGTAGGTATTCAATATATAGATAGGTTAGTCAGTAGAGAGAGAGAGAGATAAATAGACGAACGAAATACAATAAACCAAGTAGTCACTGATTAATTTTACATCTAAAAAGATCTACAGCTTAAACGGAAACAGTATGTAATAACCGTTTATCACAATTGATTGATCACTGGTTGGTGATCAATGTCATGCGTGTCTAGTCCTTATTATAGTGCAGATCGATCATGTTGCAATGTGGCCACCAGTCTAAGCGATTCGACACTGTAGGCACAGGAGATCAGTCGCGGCTTGAATAGCTCAATGGTAACATCTCTGACTGTGAAGCTGGGTGATACAAGATCGTAATCCGCCAGGGAGCACCAGTTCCCTCAAGCTAACAGGTACACTTTACTGATGACAAGTGTCAAGTAGCACGAAACTCGGATCTAGGGTTTTCTGTCGACTACCTCCAACCACTATCTAATAAACGTTTATATTATGTAACTAAAAAACTGTCATTCGAACTGTATAAGACAAAAACTAAACAAAAAAAAGACGTAATCTTTTCATAATCCACAAATTATGCATGGATATATATATATTTATATATTTTCATAGGTTTATTTATGTATATTTCTAATTCTTTAATACAAATTCGAGGCAAATTGGGAGTTGTATAGTATAAATAAATACTTAACATGTCAGTCAGTGTTACATTTGATTTGATCAGTGATAGTGATAGTAGTAGTAGTAACAGGAGTGTATTACACATTGTGTTGCGATCAATAATCAATTGATCCTCTTCATCATTATATGTGTGTATAGACAAAAGTAGATCTAAAAAATAATGAAAGGAAATTTGACAAACATTGTATAACTATATTGCCATATAATGGAAGGATATAATTGATAGAGGGTAGTGTGTTTAGTGAGTAGTATATGTGGAATTGTCTGTTTGTTTGTTTTTTTTCTTCCCACATTTTTCCATCGAGTTATCGTTTTTGTTTCGATAGCTCAAGGATAAAATATGGGATACAGTAAATAAAAATAAAATGTACAGTCAGATTAGTTGACTATTCCAAGAGATCTGGTGGTCGATCTGCAAGCTGTACAACATTAATAAATAATACATTCCTTACTTATTACCGTTTTTATCATCATAATCAAAACTAATTCCATCAACAAAATTAACTGTACACACATATTTCTACAATGATATTCAAGGCATCTGTTTCTTATTCCCCCCCCTTAACATTTGTTATTAGATTAGATGAACTTTTAAAACTTTCAGTATGATAATACTTTTAATTATCAAATCCTATTAAGTAAGATTATTGTTTGTTTAAATCATGTGTAATGCAATTTACATTAGAGCATATCATAGTATGGGAATATGCCTTGGAACTATATATCTAAAAGTTGATTAAAATCTAAGGTTATGAATCTTCATCGATTGAGGTGGTTGAGCTACGTATTACGTATACCTGAACACCGATTACTACGACGTGCAATGCTAACCGGTATTGGAGATGGTTGGAAGAAAGTTAGGGGCAGTCAAACCAAAACGTGGCATCAGTCCACAAAGTCACTAACTTCTAGTCTGAGCCATATTGGTAGGTGCAGACTACTTGGTTGCGGTCCGCGTGACTATCGTAACTAATGGTTGTAGACTCTTGATGACATGGCTCAGAATCAATCACAATGGTGTCGATGTATACACTCTCTGTCTTCCCTTAAACTAAGAGATTAAAATCACTTCTAAAATTTTTTCTACGAACTGATTCTTCCTGTACTATATCCTTATATGCAATCTCTCTTTTATATATTACCACTTCTGAATTAACTACTTTTATGAATCCGGTGTTCATCTTGTTGTGTCAATGAGGTATGGCAACTTGGACCGATGCATATATGTGCCTTGTCCTACGTTGTAGCTGACTGACTTCTAAGAAAGAATGTGTTAAATGGATACATCTAGAGTATACCTTTAGGCTTCACATGAAGTGAAAACAAATGTTAGTTTTTTTATCAAATGGATTTTTAGCTTGGAATCTTCACATCGTTCGACGTATCACTGCCAGTCATATGATATTTAAAAGAACACAAATATTCATTTGATCTGCATTGAATCAGTATGTCCCGACCGTTGTTGCTACCTTGAAGTGGTGGTCGGGCTTGCTTATCTGATGAACCAATAGAGCTATACTGGCTGGAACAATCGTTCCTCAAGGTCCTACCATACCAGACAGGTCGGTTGATGAGCGGTTAGACTAAAAGCAACAAACCCAAGGTCCGAAGGCGAAGTCGTACTGCTGACTGTACAGAGGTGTGACAGCAGTAAGGTGTTTCTTTCAGACAACCAGCAGGACAGCGATACTGCCTCCCCACAAGGACGGGCGGGGTTCGAAAAAGGTCGACCCTAAAAATGCACACCTCGCCTTATCCCACGGATATCGGTCTTCGGCGGTAAGATCTCAACAAGTGCGGAACCAACACAAAATGGTCATGTGTGACCGACCTCAAGCAGTTGTTCCTTGGGCACTGCGGTCACGCTCTCCGGTCATTAAGACCACCTCTAATCTAATTTCCTTTTCAGTTACCTCCAGAACAAGAATCAGTATGTTCGGCAGTGATGATTCTTACAATTTCCCATGTTATCAGTGTGTTTTTCCACAGAAAAAAAGGACATTCAAACACGGCGTTGAATAACTAAACAAATTAATTCCGAAATATATCTCATGTCAAGTTGATTAATGAATATGATAAGGAGTATGGGATAACAGGGAAAAGAATCCTCAATAGTACTACATTATTGTTGATAAATATTTGAATAGTCAATTTTCCTTAAAGTATCACGCACGTCTAACCACAATTCACTTCGTTGATTTATTGGTCGATTGAAAGGTAGTTCAGCATGGTACAGATGATCCACTTAGTGGAGTTTGGAAACACTGATTCCAAACCAATGGTGCACATAGGTTCCAAGATTCTGAGGATAGAAGTGACGTATGAACCTATTGTTGGTCATCAGCTACCATGGAAATGGACTTCTACATCAAAGGTTCAGAGAGTGAGTTCCCAAGAAAACCACCCGCTACAGTTTCGGTACCCGAGCAGTATCCCAGCCCTCAAAGAATTCGGATGATGGAGCGTAGTGCATATATATTTAGTGCCTCCTTGTACCAATGTTTATGCAAATAAGCCAGCACAAAAACCTTGTTCTAGAGGTTTAGTGCTAGCTGACCCTCGTTAACAAAGTAATTGATGCTTTCTATGAGATTTGAACACTGTCACTGAGTCGTTTCAGTTTAAAATGTTAACTAGAATACACATTTTCAAAAGTAGGCATCCCTAAAAATTAATAACAAACAGGGTAGACACTTACTAGATTTTATTTATATATACGGTTTTCAATAACTCATCAGCCGAAACGTTCAGACAATAATGAGACCAATTTTCGTTTTCCTCGATAAGTTTGTCTTAAACATTCAACCAAACTACGAAATTGTAATGGTCCATCTGGTCGAAGTAAATGAAATGTGTCTCTGGCTCGTGTTAAAAAATCAACAAATTCTGCATACTGACGTGGGCTAATATTTGCTAATCGCATATGTGTAGCCATAACAAATCCATTAATAGCTGCATCTAATAATCCTTTCAATGGTGGTCGATCCAAACTAAGCATTTTACCCGTACACCCCGATACACCGGTACCATTATTATTGTTAATATAATGTGGTGTTGGATTGCAAAAGTGTGTTGCACACGAATTCCCACCTGAAAAAAAAAATGTAAACGTGTACAGAATGAAATGAGCTAACTAATACTAATATCACTGGTTGAAATCATGAGTCAATTGAAGCTAGACAACCATGGAAAACCTGGAAGCACTGGACGGCCGTCTCGTCCTAGTATGGGACTCCTCAGCAGTGCGCATCCACGATCCACCCCCCCGCGAGATTCGAACCCAGGACCTATCAGTCTCGCGCCGGGCGCTTAACTAATATGATTACGTTCAAACAAACTTACTACTTGTTAGTAGTTAGTACAAAATGAAATGATCAAATTTGGAAGAATAAAACTCTCTTAGTGCTCGTGGAAGTCTGTAAACAGAAACACCCAAAAATTCGATATCTCCTAAGAATATTCACTATTTACTCTGTTATGTAACTGACGAAGTCAACACTATTCGGTTACAGTAGGTATCTTGAATATAAATATCACTTGACAAATTATAGATCATTGTAGATCAATTTGAAATGGCTTAGATCATCCCGTTCCAAATGGAATTTGATCAGTCTTGGTTGCTGCATGATTATCCTGCACAAGTTGCCCCTATATACCCATTATGACAAAACTTGATATAGAATTGACAGAATGTGGCGTTCCGTCCGACTCGGTACTCGTCAGTTATGATTCTTGAACGTGGTTACTAATTCAAACCTTTGTATATAGTCTGTTAATGGTAACTGGTTGCTGAAATCGAAGTCGATGAGCGAGAGGGAGCGTTCAAACCGATTTTACCCACTACTTACTTCGATTTATTTCAGCCTATAACAAATGATGCCTATTATAAAATCAAATACATGATTATCTACAAACAAGTTTTTGAAATACTGTTCACAACACAACACTTGACAACTTCATAACAGGTTTATTATATAATATGAAATTCAATCATTTAACATTTGAAGTACTCGACTTTTAACTCTTTGGCTATAAAGTTTCAATTATGTCTCGTCTACTTTGGATTAGTTGCATAAAATAGTGTAGCTTTAAGCTAAGTACATGAATCTATATTTGATTACTGAATTACAGGAATTCGAAGCAGTCAATATTTAGCTATAAATTGAAAGGTATTAATCCTAACCTGCCATGGGATTTATTCAACCGGATAATAGTACTGTAGTGAACGAGAACACAGGGTCGGGGTACAACCAAATACAAAACTACAGAATATCATAGTAAAATCTGACAATCATACAGCAAATACTTCGTTTGTAAAATGTCAATCGTCTTGGACCACATTGCTATACCAATCACTCCCGTTCACTTCTCATCGATTTTCTCAACCTTTTGTAAGGCATTTCGATTGGTGATATATACAAAATATATTTCGATATCAGTAGCACAGTATCACTCTATTAAACTGAACATACAAACCGTAGGCTTTATAGCCCTGGGCCCCCAAATGCCCTGGTATGACCGAGAATGGGGTAGGCCCACCCTCCCTCTCGAAATGCTCTCACACGGCCACGCGTATATAGCCTCTGCCAGGGAAGTCCCACTCACTGCCTTCTCTCACCGGGGGTGATGTTTACGAAATTGAGAGGACAAAAAGCAAATGTTCGGAGCTTTAGCCGGATCCCAAACCAATGGTGCACATGGGCTCCAGTATCCTGAAGGAACAAATGGTGTATGAACCAATTGTTGGTCACCGGCTACCATGGGACTGCATCTCCTCACGATGCTCCACTGCCTTGTGAATCAGACTTTTAGGTCGAAGGCTCGGGGTGTGGCCCCCTAAGAAAACCATCTGCTTCGGTCTGGGCACCCGGGCAGTATCCCAGCCCTCACACAAATCGAATGATTTATGTGGCGCATATCTACTTGGTGCCTCGTTGTACCAATATTTATGTGTTTAAATAATATAATGGATCTAGATTTGATTAGTACATTAGATTAAATTACACATTATATAATAAAAAAATCAATTGCACGAACAACTTACGCCCAACTGATGGTATTGAATTAGTCATATTGTTATTCATCATAATTGATGATGATGATGATGAATCTACTCCATTTATATTACTATTGTTATTATTATTCATATTTAAATTACAATTTGTCGAATTTACATGAATTCCACATGGTATAGATCGACAACGATGTAGAATATCTGTCAATAAAGTTGGACAATGAATATTACGTATAACATGATTTAATATTTCTTGTAATGCTCCTGGACCAAGTCGATGCCCCAAAAGACATGCCCATAATACATCATTACCAACTGGATGACTTTCCTTTAAATATTGTAGATAAAATATATGTATATGTGATGTTTAAAGAAGAATTAAAAGTAGGAAAATAATTGAATACGGTTAATTTTAGTCATTATTAACTTAACAAACTGTCGTATAATCAGTCAGTAACAAAGTGGAACCTCGTACGTACGTACATCAGTTCGAGTTGCCACACCACATTAGCACAAAAATGCACTTGCAGATTCAAATGCCATAGTGGTTGAGGTAGTAAAAGTATAAGCAGTAATTGGAAACATTAGGCTTCGAAGATGTTATTTAAGGAGTATAATCCAGTGAAATGAATTTGGAGGGAGAAAAAAAGAGAGACAAGTAGAATTCGGGAGAACAAAAAGAGTGTATGCACCTGCGCCATTGCAAACGATTTTGAGCCATGTCATTCAATGTCTCTAACAACCGGTTGCTATCATCTCGCGGATCCCAACCAGGTAGTCTACACCTGCCAACATGGTTCAGTCCACTTGTCAGTGACTTCATGGACTTGTGCCATGTTTTGATCTGGCCGCCCCTAGCTTTCTTTCAACCTACTCTTACAGCATAAAACATCGCATAAAGAAATTGTTACACACAGTATCAAGGACTGTTTTGATTTCGTTGATAATCTAAAAAAAAGATACGTCGGTTAAGATTAACTTCATGATATCACTAGATATATCGTCCTTATTCACTAACATTCCCTTATTTGAAATCATTCATTTGTAATGAAATAACATAGAGGTGCATAGAAACCTTAATTCCCACATCCGTAATAAACTGTTAGGTCTTAGATACATGATAAATGTTCACTGACGATTTAACTATGAATACTGTAGACAATTAGATGGGGTAGCCATGAGGTCACTAACGGGCCCTCTACTGGCAGACATTTTTTTAAAAACCTGAAAAATCGACAACTTTAAACACAATCAGTCACGTAACACTGTCACTGTATAGATGATACTTCCATAGTATTAGAAAAATAACATGAAAAGGATAATTTACACTAGAGGAAAAACAGAATAATAGTATATCGTTTCTAGATGTCCGTGACCATGAGTGCTGTTAGAGGTATGAAGGCAATTATCACCTCCCACTTCTTCTGAAGGTACCTGAAAAGGAGATTGGGTTAGGGGTGGTCTTAGTGACCTGAGAGCGTGATCGCAGAGCCCAAAGTACAACTGCTTAAGGTCAGTCACATACGACCCGGAGGATTCGTGGATGAACACTGTTGAGGAGTAACTTAGTAGGGCGAAAAAACTGCCTAGTGATTTATTGCTTATTTAACGAAATTCAGCTCATGATATAAGCTGTAAAACAATAATTTCCAAGAAATAAAAAAACATTCCATACTAATAATTTTATTTTTTTTTACCTGAGTTGTTGACAAAACAAATAATCGTGTAGCATGTAATGCAAAAGGAAATGCTCTCCATGTCCAACCACAATTATCCATATAACGTGCTAATGAAAATAATTGAATTGGTCCAAGACCACCAGATTCAGCGGAATTTAATACAAGACGATAAATTGCATCAAAAGCAATTGGATCTTTCACTGATAAATTTAATGCAGGTAATGAACAATTAATTGGATCTTTAGCTGCAGCCTGAAAAACAAGAGAGAGAGAAAAGTAATTATAATAAGAATATAGATATTTATTGAACAATTTGAAGAAATTATTAGTTCTACAGAATATCGTATTTTTACATGATTAATGAACTTTTGTAAGGGGGGCACCAAATATATATGTGCTATAATTTGTCGCATGATTTAAGTGATCAAAAGTAGGTTCATATGCCATTTATTCCTTTTGGATCCTAGACCCTATATGTGCATCACAATGGTTTGAAATCAGGGTTTCCAAACTCCCCCCCCCTACAGAGATTCTCTCAATCTACCAACCTGTTTAAAGCGTTGGATATTCACTTTTTATTCTCTCAGTTTCATAAACAACATCCACATGCCACGAGAAAGCAATCAGTAATATCATGTAAGAGTATTTGGAGAAGGAGAACTGACTCTTTGCATTTTCGGTCATAATAGTGAATTTATGGACATTTTTTAGAATTTAGGATTAGCTCATTATAATACATTAAACTTCAATTGTAAGATTGTATACCCCATTATTTGTAATTTTAAACTTTAATCCTAAACTTATTAAACATTGTTATGGATGGTACATCAGTGAATCACAATAATATAAGCTAATGTTTTATGTTTTTTAACGATTTAATAGTTTGTAAGTATTTCATGATGTGACCCCACTCTCTCTCTTTGTTACAATTGAGATAGTCAATATGTTCGTTGAAGATTATTTCTTCTCATGACCTTAAATATACTTCCTTGATCTTGATTAATTTGACATAATCTTGTTAAGCTTAACGGTAGATTCTTTTTAGTGTGTATGTGTATGTGGGGGTGGGGTGAGGGAAGGAATACAACACAATTCAACAACAACAACAACAACGGCAACAACAAGAAAGGTCTCTGGAAAGCAATAAAAAAAACTCTCAATATTAATGAGACATAAGTAATAATCTAACTAATCTGATGGGAAACAAATAGCATGTAAACCTCTTTAATGAGTTTATTATTTATTTGAACACATAAATAATGGTACAAGAGGGCACCAAATACATACGCGCCACACAAATCTCATTCGATATGTGTGAGGGCTGTGATACTGCTCGGGTGCCCAGACCGAAGCAGGTAGTTTTATTAGGGGGCCACACCCGGAGCATTCGACCTGAAGGTCTAATCCACAACGCAGTGGAGCATCGTAAGGAGATGCAGTCTCATGGAAGCCGGTGACCAACGATTGGTTCATACACCATTTGTTCGTTTAGGATACTGGAGCCCATGTGCACCATTGGTTTGGTTTGGAATCCGGTTAAAGCGCCGGATATTCGCTTTTCGTCCTCTCAATTTCGTAAACAGTGATGCCACGAGAATGCAGTGAGTGGGACTTCCCTGGCAGAGGATGTATAGGCGTGGCCGTATGAGAGCATTTCGAGAGGGAGGGAGGTTCTACCCCATTCTCGGCCATACTAGGGCAGTTGGGGGCTCTTTACTGAGTAATTGAACAGTACAATTTATTTACACACACGTAGGGCGGCCTGCTTGAGCATCTGGGCTACCTGTTCCTGCCATCTAGATATTTCAACAAGTTATCTATTGTTGTTTGTTTTAATATATCATTATGTTTATTAATCGCATAACCTATTCTGCTGCGTTTCTGAAAAGTGTACAACCTTTCGTTGTCAAAGTTACAGAAAACTCAATAAGAGACAATATGGTTGCTGGCAATGTACAACGAAAAGAATGTACATTATTCAGTTTTTCATTCCCTGAAGTGCTAACATCTAACTGGCGATTCCTCAATATTTATCGCCAGGACCGACCAAGAAGAAAGAAACGGAAACTTGTTGAAATACTTTGCGCTGAGAATTCTATATTGTACCAAAATTATAATATTGAATAAAGCTAATAATAATAATAATAATAATAATACATATAGAAATAATGTCGCCCAGGAAATATACAACATACGTCATCATAAAGAATAATGACAATATTGTGAACATTGTTTTGCTTTCTTTTCTTTTTTAACAAGGAAAGTATCTCAACTCATTACATAAACAATAAAATATACATGAGAAAATAGGTGATTTAAATAGAATCTAAATAAGTAAGTTAAGATTAACAGGAACGCTTTTCATCAGTGTTCACTAACAGTATTGATTATCTCTTTTCGTTTTACTTATCGGATGGATATTACAAGTATTTGATCACCTGCACTACAATGGACACGTACAAAGCAAGTAATCATAGATAATTGCAATTGTCTAAAATAAAATCTATGGTGGAAATTATATTCAAATATCCCAAAACCCATTCACTAAATAGTTGAATTTCCTGGTTACACTAAACCTGGTAAACATTGAAAACATTGAGGATAACTTCAATCATCAAATGGAAACAGCTTCAAAATAATCTTACATTATACTTTGGATAGAATTGATAAGATACACCATAGATACAAACATACATAAAAAGAAGAAAAAAACCTACAATCGCTTTATTTTAAAAAAAAAACAACCCTCATTTGAATGGAACAAAATGAGGAGAAGGGAAACACAAGAATGTTCCACACATTACATAAAAGGCCATTCCATAATTTGTTCTTCCTTACCCCTTGATTAGTACTTTAACCTCTTTGTTATTTATTGTTGAATCCATTTTTGTGATACAATCCATTCTATCCTTCTATAGACATACATTTTCCATATAACTATATATACGAATGTACAGCTTAAGTAAATGATTTCGTCGAAAAGAAAATTTTCTTCGCTGAATTCTCTTTTTCTTATTCGATTCCATAATTATCCATAATGTATATCAGTAGTTTATACTGCTCATTCTGTTAGGTACTATATATTTAAAATAAGCATACATGTTGTTGTTTTTTCTCTCGCAACAATGGTAGTTAGTTAAGTATAGTAACCGGATAATGATACATAATTATTATTTAAGTGCAAATTATGAACACACATACACATACATACACACTTTTGTGTGCGTGCGTGCGTACGTACGTGCGTGTATGGTAAATAGATATGTTTGCACAGCATGGAAATAAAAGAAAGGGGGTAATTATTTCATAGAAAAGTATAGATTGAGAGAACTTTTTTTCAAAAAAAAAAGAAAACCAACATAACAATAGCTTCCCATTTCATTAAATGATTGATACACAAGGTCATTTCTTTGTTTCAAACATCACTACACACAATAAACAATAAAGAACGGAACAGAACAGAACACAATGATATTATGAATAGGGACAGATGAATATAGAGATTTGTTTGTTTGCTTCCTTTTTATAACTTAGTTGGTGTTTGTGTGTAGAATTTCTATGTACAAACATAATTAATAACCCGATGAATCATCATCATCAACAACAACAACAGCAACACTATCCATTCATTCATTCATTCATTAAAGTACATAGATTGTTCAATCGATCAATCAATTTTAAGGTTTCTTTCTATATTGGAAGTATAAACAAAGTTTCCATTAATTCTATGTTTATAACTTAAAAGAGAGGTATTGTTTAATGAATGATTAATAATAATAATAATAATATACATCTATGGGTGTGTGTGTGTGTGTGCAAGTGGAAATGACTCTGTCTATCAGAGAGTAATAATACAAACTAGAATTACAATGAAGTTAGTTATAAACCTATATTAATAAATATTATGACAAATTTATATGGATTAACACAATAAGAAGAAATCAATATAATCAATAGTAAGAAAAAGATGTCAAGATTATTGATTATTTGAAGAAGAAGAAGAAGAAGGAAATAGAAAGGAAACACAAGATAGTTGGGTTTTTTAAAAAAAAAGAATAAATGATGAATGAAAACTACAGGATATTGAAATAAATTTTGTGCCAGAAGGGGTTTTGTGGAGATTTTAGAAATTTCACTGATTGAAATCATGAGTCAATTGAAGCTAGACCACTATGGAAAACCTGGAAGCACTGGACAGCCGTTTCGTCCTAGTATGGGACTCCTCAACAGTGCGCATCTAAGATCCCGTACCTCGCGAGGTTTGAACCCAGGACCTAGCAGCCTCGCGCGTGAGCGCTTAACCAACTAGACCACTGAGCCGGCATCCGACTATGTTAATGTCTAACTTCAACCAATCCACGAAGTTGTGCCACTGTACACCATTGTCTTCAGTGAGGTTATATCTCACACCAGACCTGGTTGAACTCCACTGGTCTAGTTGGTTAAGCGCCTGGCGCGAGACTGATAGATCCTAGGTTCGAGATCGTGGATGCGCGCCACTGATGAGTCCCATACTGAGACGAAACAGCCGTCCAATGCTTCCAGGTTTTCCATGGTGGTCTAGCTTCAATTGACTCATGATTTCAATCAGATAAATTTTGTACTTTGTTAACCAAGGTCATGACTAGACATTGATTATTTCATATATTTTCTACTAAAAATCAAGAAAAACTAGAACTAAGATGTTTTATTTTAGTATTTTAGTAGTCAGAAGTGTGAATTCATGATCTCACTGATGATTAAACCCAGTTCTGGTAGTAAGTACTTAATCCTTAGACTATTGAATCAGTTTCTAAAATGGTTTGAATTGTTTAACTTTAGTTAATTCGTAATAGATCACAACTATCTTCCACTGTGTTTAATGTGTAATTGGCTGATTTCCAACGTGGATGAACTTGAATGGTTATAGTTTCACAGACTCTAGGAATAAACGTTCATAATTAGTCACTGGTGTCCAAATCATTATGATTAGCAATAAGCATCCATAACCACACTAGGATAAAACACTTATCTAGTGCTTTCTGATTTTCAATGATTTTCTAACTAATGTCAATAATCCATTAGGTGAAGTATGAAATTCAACAACTTTATCAAATCTTAATGTTACATAGACCGACTGCCTCGACGTGCGATGTTCAGTGGTATAAGAGTAGGTTGGAAGAAAGCTAGGAGCGGCCAGACCAAAACATGGTACAAGTCCATGAAGTCATTGACAAGTGGACTGAATCATAATGGTAGGTGTAGACTACCTGGTTGGGATCCGCGAGATGATAGCAACCGATGGTTAGAGACATTGAATGACATGGCTGAAAATCGTTTGCAATGGCGCAGGTGCATACACTTTATGCGTTCTCCCAAAATTTAATCTCCTGATTCCTCCTTGTCTCTTTTTTCTCTTTCCAAATTCATTTCACTGGATTATACTCTTTAAATAACATCTCCAAACCCTAATCTTCCCGATTACTGCTTATACTTTTACTACCTCTACCACTATGGGATTTGAATGGACAACTGCATTTCTGTTGTCATGTGGTATGTCAACTCGAACTGATGTACGTCGGTACGAAGTTCCACGTTGTTACTGACTGACTGAATTCCAAAGAAAATTCAAACACATTCGAAAATTATTCCATGAAAATGTCAATGAATGGTTCATCGAAGAGTATTACAAATTTATATGATCCAACTACTTTTTCTACTTCTTTTTAGTTCTAAATCCTCTCTTAAACTAACTAAGCAATGATAATGTACTCATAAAACTAACACACAATCGTTAGTAATATTAACTTCTTTGTTATTCTCCTTTGGGAGAAAGATAAAAAAAAATCAACATTAAAATTTATGTATTAAAAACATATTGTGTGATTTAAACAATTAATAAGATTATAATTTATGGACGACCTTTGAGCGACACAGAAGTGACTTTGAGAGTGTTTACCTACTTACTAGGGCTAACTAAATGTGGGTTGTGAAGCAGTTTGAAGAATAACGATTATGATTCAGAGTTGATGGTTAGGATTAGGAATAAGATTCACGGTTTTTCATTATGAACTGACATCAACTAAAATGCCAGAACATTATTTGGCCAAATGGATGAGTGAATTTTGCGCCATGATAAAACACCTGTTGTCCTAAATCTGATTGGTTCGTCCCATAAATTATAGTTTCGCCATAATTTAAGCTCTATTATTTACTTATTCGCCCACAAACGCCCTGGAGAATGTCAGCTCTTCTATTTGAAATACTCACACATGTTCACGCGTATACAGTCACTGATCAGGGAAATCCTACTCACTGTCTTCTCATGGTAGGGGTGTTGTTTACGAAATTCAGAGGACGAAAAGCGAGTTTCAGATGCATTAACCGTGTTAACGAATATAGCGTATACACCTATTGTTGGTCACCGGATACCATGGAAATTAAACCTATACGTGAAATTGCTCGGGGAGTGGACCTTTAAGAGAACCGCCTACTTCAGAGTTTGGGCACCTGGACAGTACTCCAACCATCACATAAATTGAATGATGAAGTATGGTGCATATCTCGATCTGGTGCCCCCCTTGTGGTAATATTCATGTGTTTAAATAAATAAAATACAAATTCTTATTACTCAACATATTACATTATGATATACTTAATCAGAGATAATATTAGATGATAATGTGATAAAACTTATTATTATTATTATTATTATTATTCAAGGTCAGAGAATAAATGGGCCAATGAAATTTAAATGGAATGAGTGGGAGTGACAAGTCTAGTTACATATATAGTTTATATTGAATAAGATTGTGCTGTAGTATCCATGTGACAGTAGTATAATGTTATGTAAGTATATATATATAAGAGAAATAAATGAACTCTCGTGATGAAGTTACCTCCGGCAATCATTATAAATTGTATTCTTTATTAGTTGTAGTACAATTAATTTTATACAATATCTCTTTCTTAACAATTTAGAAATATTTTCTAGTTCGAGTTAATATCAGCAAGAAAGAAAAGAGATAGTGGAGAAAATTTGTAGCTCAGGTGGATGATTTTGATGGAGTTTCGTTCTCTGAGCTGGATGATTTGGTCGTGAAGCTTTCATCGTTCCTCTGAACGACATCATCATCAGCACAAACTTCAGATAGAAGTGTGAAGTGTTCGAATTTCTCCGTCGAGGTGTACAGAACAAGCTGTGAAACGCATATGGAGAAATTTGAACACCTCTATCTGAAGTTAGTGCTGATGATGTCGTTCAGAAGAACGATGAAAGCTCCACGACCAAACCATCCAGCTCAGAGAACAAAACTCCATCAAAAAAAGAAAGAAAAGAATTGAAGAAGAACAACTGATGTGTAGTTAGTTGATCTTTACTAATTCATTCTGAATAATGCACCAACGGAAACGATGAGTTGTGAATTAGAATATAAATACCCTAGATTGATATTTATTCAAAATAAAACTAAAAGACTAAATGTTGAAAGGTTCCAAAATGAGTTCTAAATATCACGAAATAAACTTAGAATAATGAATTAATAACCTTCAAGGATGATGTTTTCTATTAGATAAAACCATCAGAGTCAAATGCAAAGGAGCTTCGGTTTCCGGTTAAATATATCTGCCCAACATTAAAAATCGGGTAAGGAAAAACTGAAGCTGTCGCAATGTGTTCTTGATAAGTTTATGGGGGGATTCTGACGCGAGTGGTCAAGGTCATAGTCATGGTATTGGTTTTTATATTGTTATTATTAACGGCTGGAAGGCAACAAAAAGACCGCAGTTGTTCTGATTTCATCTTTACTCAGTGACAGATTTAGTGAATAAGCTATAGACAATTGCCACTAACTGTTACAGTGTTCCCTGGCATTACAATGACTATTGACTATAGATCGATCGATAGCTTTCATGGCAAAGAACTACAGTAACCTACTGAAAGGTCCTAGATTCAAATACTATTATTGAAATCATAGCTTGTAATCTACTGTGATCTATGATTGGTTACTTTGAATGATGTTCTATCTAAGCTTATCTCTTCAGAGCTAAGCCTTTAATAGTTCTAATCGGTTCAGAATATAGAAATGACAACGATTTTAATAAATTGCATAGACTTCTGAAACACCTTAAATGAAAATGTGTTAATGTTTGGGTTGAGTTCTTCAAATAACTGCAAAATGTTACTTTAGAACGTTTTAAAGTTAATGCCAAGTTTAACTACAGACAGTAATGAAATCAGGAATGTTGACTCATTGAATTATCTTGAAAGTATCAACAGTTTAAGCGGACAAAATCTCAACACGTACAAAAAAAAATAAAGGTATGATACTTTGTTTTTAACAAAAATTTACACCGTCTATATTACAAATGAGATATATGTCTGCTTAATAAGATGTGAGCATAGTACTACTCCGTATTAGATAACGTTATGTATTATACTTTTTTTTTAACACATTACCACATTTATTCCATAAAAGAAGAAAATATCTATACGTGAAACTACTAATACTACTATTGTCGGTCAGTCAGTTAGTCAGCTACAACGTAGGACCAGGCACAAATATGCATCGGTCCAAGTTGCCATACCTCATTAACACAACAAGATGAACACTGGATTCATAAAAGTAGATATGCAAAATGAAATAAACTATATTAGTTGTGTTATGATGGAATCTTTCTTTTTATATTTAAGAAACTTTTTAAAACAATCCAAATCCTTAATGGATATGACCTCATAAAACATTACAAAGAAGATAAGAATGTAGTGAAAATAAAAATTAAAAAAAGAATAATGATAATTACATAGTAACTATCGATCCTAAGGACTAATAATTCACTCACTAAAGGTTTTTATATAAATATACACTAAAGTCATATAAGAAGATCTACCAAGAGTGCTAGGAGTTACAACATTATGTGCACCAAGAAAAGTGATATTACTTGACTGGTTATAAACTAAAATAGAGAGAAGTAGGAATTCTACTGAATGAGATACTCTAACTACTAAGATATCATTACATACACTTTAAAAAAACCATTAGCCTCATCTATTTTTGGGACTTGTCAGTTGATTGGAGAATACAATACATGCTGGCACATTTATTGTGATAAGATGAATTGAACTAGTAGAAGAATGGAAAAACGGCGAGAGGATAAGGAGTTAAGTGACATAAAATAAAATGTAAAGTGGCGGTGTACAATGAATTTTCCAGTGATAAATGTTGTAAGAGTTAGAGAAAATCGAAAACGAAATAGAATGTACGAGTCATATATCAAAAAAATAGGCAACTCCTATGAGATTTTATAATAGTTCCATAAGAATGATATATGTATGTTTGTGTCAAAACAACAAACAAGATGTTACATATTGTGCTGATTTCGAACATTAAATTCATCTCGATTGATTGAAGGATCGATACGATAAAAATTACATTAGGGATTGATCTACTTATTACCAATTGTTTAAGTAAACAGATTTAAGGCAACTATAGCAATTCCAGTAGATGTTATGATATTCTCAGATTTGAATGGGGTTCGAGTCTGAAATCCGATGTCTGAAAATCAAGTAATCTAACTACTACTTTATGTATATAAACCAATGCGTGTCTGAACTTAGTGGGCATGTGGATAACGGGATGGTCATCAGAGAGAACAATACTGGGTTCAAGTCCCGGAGTAAACATCAACTCTGGTTTGGAAAGTGCATCCAGTCGATGAGTCCCGAATAGGACGAAAGCCATCTCTTAGATTCCACGGTTAGCTATCATATATCTCTGCTTAAACATACGAGATAAAGTTTCTATGTAATTTTAACTAAAAATTAACTATATTTATAGAAAGTTACTAAAATTAACTTACTTGCAATGCCATATGTCGTACAGCATTGGTAATTTGTTCACGTGATGCTTTTGAGTAAGGCACAGCAGTGTTAAGTAGTTGAGCCGCCATAATAATCGAATGACTATGACTTCTTGAAGTAAATGAAGTTGGACAAAATGAATACCATGTTGGGCATATTGAATAATTTGTATCAGGTGTAGGATTCATATTCATCATTAAACCACTACTGGCACAACCACCATTTAATGAATCATCATCCCAATTAGAAAGACCGAAGAATAGTGAAGAATGATCAAAACACATTGGATTATCTATAGTAGACGGATTTGATTGATCAGTAGGACAAAGTTTATTGGTTGACAAAGATTTCGACATACGTGGAGTAACATTAGTTGGTGTGTTTACATCTAGTGTACCGACAGCTGTAAGTAAAGCTGGAGCAAGCCAACTAACAGCCTCTCTTGGATTTACATATGATGACCAATGATAAATTAAGTATAAACAAGCAGGTGGACCAACATGTAAAGCAGTTGTAACTGCCCATGCTAACATTTCACGTCGACGCCAGTGTACTGATCGACTAAGTGTACGTAGAACAACTATTAAAGCTAAATGAAATGCAGTACTAATGAGAAATATACGATCACGTGTATAAAATGATTCAATTGTTGGATTAGTTGCAGTCGGTAACAATAAACCAGGTGGAGGATTAGAATTTAACAAACAACCACATTCACTATAAGTAGATTCCAGTAAATTGGTATTATTAGGTTTACGATTAACTGGTGATCTTAATTTCCAACCAACTGCTTCTGCAAATACCTGAAAAATACAAAATGAAACCAAGAAAAAAAATTTTTAATTGTTACTGGCCTTACAACAGATAAGAGAAAATAAACATTCCAAAAAGATAATAATAATGGTAATAAAATGTTTACAAAACAACTACAAAGATAAGTACATCAATTGAATTATCTTATATGGACGTTGTTTGTCCAATAAATACACAAACTTCTTTTTTGTGTGATAAAAATGATAGATACTATCGGTTCTACTTTGCCATACTCTTATCATATCCTCGTTTATATTGTTAGAAACAAACTGTGCTACGGTTTGGGTACCCGGGCAGTATCACAGCCCTCATACATATCAAATGAGATATCTGTGTGGCACATATGTATTTAGTGCCTCCTTGTATCAATATATGCATGTGTTAAAATAAATAAATAATAATAAAAGAAACAAACAGGCTTTTAGTTTCTAACTCATTCTAGATTTTATTAGAATATTTGTATACCAATATTTTGCTTCAACTGAATTTATCAGCAAGGATTGGGATAGTGATTTATTCTAGATTGGAAACTATACACACAAACAAAAGGCTGCACTCTTTCGCCAAATCGACAATTTTAGATCCTTGCTTCCTATTACATTTTGCTATCTTCATAGCCCTTGCTGAAACATTTGGTATATTAAAGGTGAGTTGTTTCGTTTAGTGAATTATCTTTACAAACAATCATCAAGCAGTCCATAGATTTTATTCACAAGTTTCATTAAATACTTAATTATTCAAGTCCTAGTATTTATGAAACAGATAGCCCCTAAATGCTCCGGTACGGCCGAGAGTGGGGAGAGTCAGCTTTCCCTTTCAAAATGCTCTCAAATGGCCACGTGTACATAGCCTCTGCCAGAGAAGTCTTACTCTCACTAACTTCTCGTGACATTACTTTTGTTTACGAAACTGAGAGGACGTAAAGCGAACGTCCGGCGCTTTAACCGAGTTGGTGAATATGGAGAGTCCACCTAGGGGAGTTGGAAAACCCTGATTCTAAACCAATGGTGCACATGGGTTCCAGTATCCTGAAGGAACAAATGGTGTGTGAACCAATCGCTGGTCACCGGCTTCCATAGGACTGTATCTCCTTACGATGCTCCACTGCCTTGTGGATTAGACTTTCAGGTCGAAGGTTCTGAGTGTGGTCCCTTAGGAAAACCACCTGCTTCGGCTTGGGCACCCGAGCAGTATCACAGCCCTCATACATATCGAATGATATTTGTGTGGCGCATATGTATTTGGTGCCTCCTTGTACCAATATCTATGTGTTAAAATAAATAAATGAAACAGATGACAATGTACCGGAAAAAGTATTACTAACGAATGAATGTAAAGCTTATTTGCCAAGTGTACACATGTGTTTATTACACTGGTAATACTAACCACAGCTGCTTAGATTGTAAGAAGTGAAAGAAAAAAACATTGAATAAGTGAACATTCAATACACATAGAAAGTTAACTGTTCAAATTACCGAATAAACAGTGATATTAACAAAAAAGCACATATATCGTATACACAGAAATAAAATGAAAATCATTTTTCTGTTTATAACAGTTTAATGTACTAACGATTATTGAATAGAATACTTACACAAAACACATGAATGTATATGTGTAATTTTTATTTATTTATAGAAAATGACTGATAAAGGATTATAAGAAGAGATGCATTCATGATGCCTAGCAGTGGAATTCAGGAAACGCGTTATGTTCTATTTTGGGACTCGTTAGCTGAATTTACCTGCATCTCAGAGTTGACGTCCACTCCAGGACTTTGTCTTAAACATCAATGGGAAGATTCAAATTAGTCAATTAGTTACAACTTAAGACCAGGCACATATATGCATCGATCCAAGTTGCCATACCTCATTAGCACAACAAGATGGGGAGATTCAAGCAACCAATACAAATATGAATTAAATAAAAGATTATAGATATAATCTCTAAAACGATAATTTTATTCACAAATCAATCATGAGTTTGAATCATAATCATAGATCTAAATACACTTGATATTGTTTACTTGAATCTTCCGATTGATGTTTAGGACTGTTATCGATCAATCTCTCATTGGTATATGTGTATACTGTGCGTATTGCCTTAATTCACATGCATGATAAGCAAAGATGGATAGTGGCCAGCAGCTGACGAGTCCCAAATAGGACGAAACGCGTGTCAAACTGGATTCCACTGTTAGAGACTATCCATCTTTGCTTATAATCATAGATTGTCATTTATTTTTTGATAAACTAATTTTAACAAAGATACTGTAAACTTTTTAATTGAAGTATTATTTTCGGGAAAAAACGAGTTGATTAAAGTTGTTATTATTAAAAACCATTATTAACCACACTATAAGTATGAGGGTTAGTGATACTACAAGCTAGTTACCTGAATAGAATTAGTAAACGAAGTGGGGTTCAGTCATAGAAATGAAAGTAATCAAAAGTTGGATGCCGTAAACTTAAGGCTACATTTCCACATTGGCAACAATCAGACAACTTTAGTAATATTATTAGTAGTGATAGTAATGGATCATCAAAAAAACAACAATCTGCATTACAATTCACTTAATAACAACGAAATGAATGTATAACTTATTTGTTGACATGTGAATGTGTGCAATGTCTTGTACTTTCCAATAGACAAATTGATACTATATAAAATTAACGATAGAACTGTGTATTTGGGAGATTACTTATGGAGATGATTTTAACAGACTTACACGAACGATTAGGATAATGTCAGGAAAGACAGTGTACTCACTTCACATCTTATTTCCCTTTATCAAAATATTCTCCTTTTTTTGAACTAAGTGTTAATAAATCAGATCTACGATAACAGGTCTGAAATTTTGGTGCGAACTTCATTCACCCATCTGGCTAAATAGAGTTTTGGCATTGTAACTGATGTCAGTTCGTAATGACAACCCTAAATCTAAGTCCTAACCTTAACCATCAACTGTAAATCATAATCCTTAATCCTTAAACTGCTTTATAAACCTCATTTAGCTCTAGTAACTAGGTAAACATTTTCAAGGTCACTTCAGTTTCGCTCAAAGGTTGTCCATAAATTATAGTTTCACCAATTTTACTAAGCATATCAAATCGTATTATGTACACATGAAAGAGAATGATTTTCTGTGGAAAAATTAATATTAAACATGATAAAAATATCCACTATTTACCTGTTGAGAAATAGCTAATAAACTAACAGCTGAATGAATATTTTGATTACAAATTTGTACAATTTGATCTAATCGATGAATATGTGATTTTGAGACACGAATCAATGCAACAGCCAATCTAGTTTGACGTAATTTCAATGTTTCTAAGCATCGACGATATTGTGGATTTTGATTTGATGATAAAATATTATTATTATTATTCATATTATTGCCTACAATCAACTGACTATCATCGATTGTTGCGAATCGGTTATTACTATTGTTTAAAGTAGAATGAACAGGATTATTACTAGTAGTCATAGACGTTGGTAGTCCAACTGTCGGCGATGATGTTGCTGTAACTGAAGATAACGGTGATGTGAACCAACGATTACTGTCAAGATTTTGTAAATTAAACATTGGATAAACAGGTGGGTTATTATTATTATTACTATTATTAAATTTCAAACAATTCTGTGTAGACATAGAGAATACAGATGGGAGCGGTGGTACAGATACATTCGGTATGGAAATCATACAACGATCATAATCCGGAACTGGTTGTTGTTGTTGCTGTGACTGGTCCCATCGAAATGAATTATTATTATTACTACTACTATGTGGGTGTGAATATCTTTGATGATTGTCATAATTCGCATTCATATACATATTTCCAGTGAATTGTGACGATGAGTCCATCATATTTCCAGTTATTATTGTTGTTCCCGTTGACGCTGTTGCTGTTGTTAATGAAGGGATACCAAACTCTTGATCACTAACTTCTGTATTTACAGCAAGAGCAGTTTCCACACTACCACTACCACCACCACCACCATTGCAAACTCTATTGTTAAGATAATTGTGATAATCCCAACAACCATGATGATTGTAATTCATACGTTGAGAATGCAAACAGCCTTGATTAATGCCGTTGGTGTTGGAATTATTATTATTATTAATATTATTATTATTTAATAATAGTTGTGGTGAACTGTTACTTCGTGTTAAATGAGTTCCCATCATACTCGAATTATCCATTAATGAATAATTTTCAAGAACAGAAAATCTAACAAACAAGAAAGAGGGGGAAAGGGAAAGAAAATGTAGGAAACAAAATAAAATGGATACTGGTAACAATTTGAACTTAAACAATAATCTTTACTTTCAACGTTATTCGATCGTATGTATAGGAGAAATTTATGTTTAAAGGATACAAAAGTTGAAAATAAATTGATTGACAATGATTATCTAATCAATTAGTAGTCAGCTATAATCAATATAGGATCTGGAATAAGAAGTTCTTTAGTACAAGTTGTCATATCATAATAACACAATGAGATGAAGTCAATAGAGTTGAATTTGAGGAACAAATATTATGAAACAATATTGTAGTTCAAGATGTAGTGATCTCTGCATCATTGTAATCGGTTCAAAGTCACATCACTAAACATCTTCAACTAATGCTCGAAAGTACCGACTGGAACCCAACTAAGTGATCAGTATCTTAATTTGGTTGTTCCCAGGTTTCTGCTAATCTATTCATACTCCAGTCAATATTAAGTGACGAGGTAGGCAGTGATTGCAGATATGTAACATATATCCCATCTAGATAGAATATCAACTCATTACTTACAATTATCACCTGTGTATTACACTGTATAACTTATGAAGTAACATGGTTGATACCTTCATAACATTACATTTTTTTTAAAACTAAGAGTATTTCATGTAAGATGCACCTACACAAGCATACAAAACGACGAACGGTATCTTAGTGAAAAGAAGCAATTAATTTCAGGTAAGAAACTAGTTTTGACTAGTTCAATCAACGTCATTTAATAGAATATCATTAACTCTCACAATAATAATAATAATAATAATAATAAATATTGAACTCATCACATCCAGTATTTTATAAACCCCATATATCAGTACATGGAGAATTGGGGAGATTGTAGAACTTTGATAGTTTAAATCAAAAGCTGATTTTAGTTAGACCACTGTTCAAAACCTGAGAAGACTGGATATCCGTTTTGTCCTAGTATGAGACTTTTCCACAGTGTTCATCAATGACCCTGAACATGAGACCTAGAGTCTTGCGCGCGAGTGCTTACCTTTTAAACTATTAAGCCGGTATCCAACGGTATTAATAATTAACTTCAATTAAAGCATTGAACAACATTTATCCATTGACTGCAGAGTTATATACTAGAAAGAAACAACCGTCGTCCAGTGCTTCCACGTTTTCACAATGTTAATCTAACTAAGGTTAGTTAGTGATAAAATTCCACATACGTTTAATAATTACAGATATTATATTATTTTTCCTACATATAATTAACACTTACCTCATTGCTCTTGTCACTAATGTAAATACCATATCATCAATACGAATTGAGGAAACATTATTATTATTATTGGTACTACTACTACAACAACTACTGTTACTACTACTTCCACCATTATTGTTATTATTAAACGAATTTGTCCAACATGTGTTGAATGAAACTAATTGATTGATTTTTTGTGTATCCAATAAATAATTTAATACAAATTCAGCGACAGAATGAACTGGATAAGTATCTGAATGGACAATTATACCAAGTGATGACCACCACCATAGATTCATCAATGCAGTGGGATGATAATCAAATTTATTTAATATACGTAATGATGATGACAAAGACGATGGGGATGTTGATGATGTTATGGGTGGGCCTAATAATTGGCAAAGAATTTCACACATTGTTAATGCAGTAGTCACATCTTTTGGTATTGTATTTAATAAAGTTAACAGACGTGTTTCTTGATGTTGACAAGCTAATAATCGACTAATTGATCCAACAAGACGACGTTGTTGAAACAAACTTAACAAACTGATCTGAAAAGAAGAAACACAGAAAAGATATACGATAATTCCATTCTACATTTTTCAGCAGGGGTTAAAAAAATTAATAGACTTTGAGTGAAAAACAAAAATAACATTTGTTGTTAAGACTAAGAGATGCGTTACAATGAGATAATGATGTTATGAAAGAAACATTTCAATAAACATATACTTTTCTTTCAAGAAAGGAGAGGATAATTTCGATAACAAGGGGGAGAAATATTTCACATTTGAATATCAAGAAGAAAAAGACTTCAGTTAAAAAAAATCCCTATTTACTGCTAAGCACTTTTCATCTCCTTCTTTATCGTTCAAATTGTTTCAGTGAATCAATCAATGTTACACACGATCACATAGTTGTGATTAACCAACCTTTCAATATCAGTCGGTTATAATGGATACGATAGACTTATAATAAATGTAAGCATACAAAGGTTCCCAATATCACACATTTCATCGCATACATTAACATATACAAAAAGCAAAAGCATAAAGATGAAGAATATAAGAAGAAAGGAGATTGAATCAACTCCAATAGAAAATTGACTATTGACAAAATACATTGAATAACGAAGTAATTATTAAGTCATTGAAAATAGTGTTGTATCGTGTTACGCTTAAACATCTAGCTAATGCTAAAGGAGTAGAAAAACACAAGAGTAAGAAGAACTTCCTTGTTACTATTGTTCTTTCAATTGACAATGTTCAAATGTACAACTACACTGATCTGACATCATTTGCTACGGAATAAAAACATGATGAAACCCAAGGAGCATTTGATTTTGAGTTCTTTTGTGTATGCATGTGTATATGTACATTTGCTAGTCAAATCCAGGATCATTCCATTTACATGATGACCTCACACTGATATTATCGACTAGTCATAAATTGATTGATCACTGGGTGGCGATCAATCTCATGAGTGTCTAGTCCTTATTACACGAGATTGAATCCGCCAGGGAGCACCAATTCCCTCAAGATTACAGGTACACCTTGCTGACGAGTGCCAAGTAGCACGAAACCTGGGTCCAGGGTTTTACTGTCGACTACCTCCAACCACCATCTATAATTATCGACTAGTATTCTTTGTATAGAGAGACTTAAATAAATCTTATTGAAAATATTTTTTATACTTAATAATATAAAACATTTTCCCACACGATCAATGCATAGTAGGCTTTTTTCATTATTCAACAGCTTAACTGTCCATCACGATAAGACTATTATTTCATGCAATATATATATATATATATATATATATATATATATATATATATGCGTGTATGCTCGCTAATCCATAGGTTATGAATAGCTTTCAGGTCATTTCATTACAAAAAAATACAATGACCTCTGATTAAACTTATAATAATCATGAATATTATCACTAAATGTAAAGTAGAAAATCAACGAAGATATAAGAAAAGAGAATTTCGGGAAACAGGATTTATGAACACTTAATCCTAAACTTATCTACTACACACACAAAAGAACAAACATGGGAACATGCTTTAAAATCAGGAATTTGATTGACATAGAACAACAGCGTAACCATAAATTAATTATACAGTTTGAAGAATGAAAATATCTATGCATTCAGTTTCTAGTAAATTTATGTATAAGAAAAAAAATATATCACATTAAAACTAATTGGTAATTATATCTATCCATTGGGGTTTTCCTGCATGGGTTCGAATCCCATGCCCATCGTCACTGATATGTCTTGTCGTTTAATGCTACTTTTTATATCTGGCCGTTGTTGTCGTTGTATTTTGGGGGGGTTAGTAAATCTTCACTTATACCCGTCTTGTGTACTTACTTTCATGTCGTGGGAATTGAAGAGGTCGCTCGTTTCGAATATAAATGATAAGCGTTTCTAACACTAAAATTAGTGAGGACCAGATATAAAAAGTAATATTAAACGACAAGGCATATCAGAAGACTTTTAAAATTCATCAGAATAACAACAGAAACAACAATAAGAAAACAAGAAGACACAAATTCTCATTACACCAACAACAACACCATTTTTTATGCATGAGAGAGATATGAAATACTTTGATGTGTGTAAATGTGAATGCACTTCAGTGTAAAACTATTATTTAGTTATTGTTTTTCCTAAAATAAAAATAAATAGGTCAATTGTCTGAACATTATTTTTCTATTATTAGGTTATTAATTTTCAAAAGACATTGGTACAAGTAGCCAGATAACCGGTTAGTACGCATGCACACATATATACGTGAACGGATGGATGCAGTAACAATAAATGCAGTATAAAGTACCTTCTATCACTAGGTTTCGATTATGATAATAATAATAGTAATAATGTTAACGCTGAACAGATTGAACAAATTGAAACTGGTCAGGGTTGATTTCCTACGGACAAACATCGACCGCTACCACCACTATCATATAATACATCAAATGCAATATACTGTTGTATCATGTCATTATAGCTACAATGCATCTTGTTCGATAGAATTTGATTAACAACCAAAAGGTTGGTAGATTAGTGTCACTATTGGAAAACAGTATAAGAAATAAGTTTTCTTTAGTCAAAGTCCATAGATGATAGTGATTAGGATAAACAAAACTAATGATTATTTAATACGTTTACTCCCATAAGCTTAACATTTTATCATTAGGCATGAATAAGGATTTTTTTAAATAGAATATTATAAATATACTTTGGTATTAATTGATATTTGAGACTGAGATATGTATATTGCAATAGTAAATATTTGGTTGTATCTTCCAAACGAATGGGAAATGTACAGGTGTACAGGACCAAATCATTCAGCTCAGACAACAAAACTCCATCAAAATCATGAGATACAATGGACAGGTAGAATGTAGCTGGACGATCTAGACTTCGCAGATAATTTGGCTCTTTTATCGCACACGCAACAATAAATGCAAGGGAGTGGGAACAGTGTAGTAGCGACCTCAGCAGCAGTAGGACTCAACATACACAAAGGGAGAAGAAAGATTCTCTTATACAACACAACATTCACCAATCGAATCACACTTGACGGAGAAGCTTTGGAGGATGTAAAAACCTTTACATATTTGGGCAGCATCATTGATGAACACAGTAGATCTGATGCAGATGTAAACGCGTAGATCAGCAATGCAAGAGCAACATATCTATAACTAAAGAACATCTGGAACTCAAAACAACTGTCTTTTAACCAACACCAAGGTCAGAATTTTCAATACAAATGTCAACACAGTTCTACTGTATGGTGCGGAAACCTGGAGAACTACGAAAGCCATCATCCAGAACATAAAGTGTTTATTAACAAATGTCTACGCAAAATACTTCGGATCCGTTGGCCAGACACGATCAGCAATAACCTACTATGGGAGAGAACAAACCAGATCCCAGTGGACGAAAAATCAGGAAGAATCGCTGAAAGTGGATAGGACACACATTGAGAAAAGCACTCAACTGTGTCACAAAGCAAGCCCTCACGTGGAATCCTGATGGCCAAAGGAAAAGAGAAAGACCGCAGAACACATTACACCGGGAAATGGAGACAGACATAAGAAAGAATAACAATTGGATAGCACTAGAAAAGAAGGCCCAGTAGAGAGTGGTTTGGAGAATGCTGATCGACGGTCTATGCTCCATTGGCAGTAACAGGAGTAAGTAAATATTTGTAAGTCAGAATAAGAATTTGAGAGGCGTTGTATTCTCTGTGTGGCATGATTTAAGTTGTAAAGCTTTCATCATCAATATATATATATATATATATATATATATATATATATCAAAGAGAAGTATGTCTGGAAAAACAATGAACAATATATCCAGCTCGATTAAGCTGAACTGTATATATAGGAAAGTTAGTAGTATTATTCAATTATATAAATGAATATAAATATTACAAAATTAAATGATTTAATGAATTGAAAAGAAAGAAAGGAAACAATGAACATTGGGAGAGAGAGAGAGAAAAACAAAAGGTGAATAAATCAATGAATGCACAACTAACTAGGTGTATTTCCCATTCTCTCGAACAAGATCAAGATAAACAAATTAAATTATCAGAAACCATATATTGTAATAACATCAATAAAAATGAAATGAAATTACAGTTAGATACATGGATAGATAGAACAAGAGTGGGTGTGTGTGTGTGTGTGTGTGTGAGAGAGAGAGGTAAAGTTCACAAACGTAAAATTTATGAAGAGAAAAAAAGTGATTTCAGATAAAGGATGTATGTAAACATTCATTCAAACTATATATCTATATGGATAGGTGTATATTGATTTCTATGATCTATTAATATGATAGATAAGCACCCATACTGATAAATAAAGCTATGAATAAGTAAATAAATAAATAAACAAACAAACAAACCTACACATATACACGTATCTAACCATATACTGTTGTAAGAATGATAATCATTAAAATAGATAAGTCAATGAATTTAGGACACATAAATAGAATAATAAATTGATAGGAAGAATAAAGAGGATAGTGACAATATAGAGACTATGAAATGTATCAATATAGAAGATAGATAATCATGGAAATCAGACGGGAGAGTGTGTGTGTGTGAGAGAGAGAGAGAGAGAAAGAGAGAGAGAAAGAACAGAATTAAGACAATGTATACATGAACAATAGACATTATAATTTATGCTCGATTAATAATAATAAGTAATTACACTCAATATCTCTCTATGTATATATAGTAGAGACTTTAATGGTATCTATTTATTGAGAATAGATTTTACTGGTTGAAATCATGAGTCAATTGAAGCTAGACCACCATGGGAAACCTGGAAGCACTGGACGGCCGTTTCGTCCCAGTATGGGACTCCTCAGCAGTGCACATCCACGGTCCCGCCCCCCCCGCGAGATTAGAACCTAGGACCTATCAGTCTCGTGTCAGGCGCTTAACCAACTAGACCACTGAGCCGGTCGGCATCCAACGGTGTTAATGTCTAACTTCAACTAATCCATAAAATTGACCGACACATCCATCATTGTTTTTAGTGAGTTCCTATCTCACAACAGACCTGGTTGAACTCCATTGGTAATAGCTTCTCACTAGAACTCCAGGAGTATTTCTTGAAGTCAGTCACTAGTGAACAGGTGATTATTATCAGAATGGGTTTTGTGGAGATTTCAACCAGTGAAACTTTTAAAAATCTCCATAAAACCCATTCTGATAATAGATTTCAAGCAATATATTGCATTGAATACGTATGATGATACAGGAAAAGAACCTGTGACCTATCTACATTAGTTAAAAGTTGACTGACTTGATCATGCGATATTCGCTTCTATTCATACAGAAAATATAATATGAACTGTAAGCATAATAATATAATTCAAACATTTCTCTAATTTTCACAGATTGAATTCATGAGTTAGTTGAAGCTAGACCATCATGGAAAACCTGGAAGCACTGGACGGCCGTTTCGTCCTGGTATGGGACTCCTCAGCAGTGCGCATCCACGATCCCGCACCACGCGGGGCTCAATCTGTGAAAATTTCTAAAACTCTCCACAAAACCTATTCTGATTTCTCTAATTTGCTTGAATGGTAGATCAAACTAAAATAAGACTTGTAGAACACAAATTCAAATTGGTGCCTTTTTTGAATTGAGTTTTACATGGATGAATCTATACAATTAATAAGAAAATAGACTAAACATTGAATAACTTACTTTAACCGCTAAGCATAAATAGAATGATGCCTTTTCCATATGACCCCACGATGGTAAAGCAATTGGTGGTGTTTGATGATTTGCCGCTTCAACAACAATTGCAGCTGCATCTAATAAACATTCAACAAGACATAGTATAGGACGACCAGGAAGACCAATCCAACCAACATCTGTATGACTAGGACAATTTGTTGAAATTAAACCACAATTAATATCAGTTTCAGTGATTGGGAAGAATTCACCGGCAAACACATTAGGATTAGTTGAATATGACAAAGGAAGTGGTCTTGCATTAACGTGTCTATTCATTGGAGTTGGAGAGTTTATAGAACGATTATGATGACTAGGATGCATCATCATCATTATATTATTACTACTGCTACCATTGGCACAACCAACTGAACTCCCGATACCGTGAGGTGGTGGTGGACACGAATAAGATGAATAAGGCGAATTTGTATGGGGTATATGCTTATGATAGTTATGATGATTTGTGGTCGTAGGCTGATAAGGATTATGAAATGATACTGGAGAGATTGATGCAGGCGGTATAGGTGAACAATGTGGTGAACTAAATGGATGCGATTGATTTACATATTGTTGACAGGATGAAGTTGATTTATATACATAAGACGGTTGATTAGACCAACAATTATTACTATTATTACTGGTATTGTTATTGTTACTACTATTACTACCACCACTACTGTTATTATTATTATTACTGATAATAATTGATTGATGATTAGTGCAAGATGGACCAGGACTTGGATTTGAATTCGGTGAAAGACCATGACGTCTAGTAGAGACAGGACGTGAATGATGAGTGACATTCACTGGTGGAGATAATGATGCTGGTCTAGGTGATGTGAGCCGATTGGAAGGAGAGAATTTTCCGTGATTTGGTATCATTGACGGGGAAGGAGGCATATTTGCTATTTTAAAAAAACAATAAAATAATATGAAATGCCATCAAAATTATATATGTATATATACTAAGCTACAATGAAACGTGACATCAATCCATGAACTTATCGATTGTTGGACCGACCCATGTTAGAAATAGAGACTACCTGGTTGGGGTCAGCGAGGTAGGCATAATAAATGGCTAGAGATTTTGGGTGATATATCTCTGAAGCGGTAATAGTAACACAGATGCACTCACTCTGTATCACTCCTTCGAACTTAAACGTTATTATCCCTTCACATATACCTTCCTACCCTGTACTTTTGAACCATATCGCAAAGGTAAAGTCTTCATCATTCCCATTCCTATTACATTATTTCGATCTCGTTTACTATACATCTTTATAATTCCAAAAGCATATCTGTCTGCATAGAGTTTGTTACTGGTAAACTGCAGAGACGTTCTACAACTAAGATACAGACTTAAATAGTAATCATACACCAGCTGTCAAATTATACAATTTTTAAGTGAAAATAACCAATAATAACTGCAACTTACGTGAAGACAAATATCGTGATCCAGAATTATGCATTACATTATGTGGACTTATACCATTTACCCGAAGTGCTTGTCCATTTGGTGGTGTATTGAACAACATACGACGTGCTACAATATCATTAGGATGGCAATTATTATTCCATGATGTATGTGAAGGAAATGTTTGTGGAGGACTACGTTGAACATTATTAATAATTGAAGTTGCAGCCAATGAAGTTTTCATTTTAACCGAACGTAATAAACGTTGACTAATAAACACAGCAAGTTGCAACGCTTGACTTAAATAACCATTACTTCGTAATGCTGCTACACGTAAACACAATAATGGAAATGGTTCATTAAGTGGTCCTGAATGATCACAATAAGGGCATTGACATTCTCTTGGAGAAGAGTTTGATTGAAATGATCGACTGTTGAATCCAATCGATCGTCTAGGAGTAATTGAAGATGGTCGTCGGAATATCCTACCACAATCACTACTACTCTCATCTACAGAGACGCTTGTTGAGTGATTTTGTCGACCTCCATTTGTATCTTCACGATGTTCATGTTCGTGTTTATTTAATTTCATATCATGAATAGAGAGATGATTCCACCAGACATCATCCCAAGACATATAACTAGCTTCAATTGGCAAACGAAAGACTGAAGCACGTCTGCAAGGACGAGTTGATTGTTGACAAGATGGTTGATTTTGCTGTGATTGTTGATTTTGTCCGAGAACATCATCATCCACATCGTTTAATTCATGTATAGATGTAAGGAAATGACTAGGAATTGAATAGGACTCGTCACGAGGACAACGATTAGCACGTGCCCAAGTCAAAAATCGATAACGCCATTGTCTTTTCGTTTCAACACTACAATCAGGGCTTAGCACTACACATGTCCATAATAAACAGACTTCTTCCCATAAGCGTACAGTCCATGGTGGAGATTGATTAAGAGAAGTAGATGAACTATGATTATAACCATTATTAACCGAGTTGGTTGATAGTGCTTCACCGGGAAATTGACGATCAGTTATTGATTGTTGACCATGAGATATACGAGGAGTAGCAATCGTTTGTAGTCGACTAGGTACATCAATTGTTGCATTCCTTTGATTACGTCTGGATTTTATCACCTGGAAATTAGAAGGAATGACAAGTAGAATATATTCGGTGATTTATAAAAAAGGCATTTAACAATTCTAATGGAATATTAGAAAATAATAGTTGCCTTATCACATGTACATTGAGCAAGATTACTTCATAAATTGACATGGACAAATACATTTCACATTTCAGATAACAACTTTACCCGATTAAAGCTTTTTAAAGAGTATATGTCTAGATTCCGAGAACTAATTCGGCTACGCATCAATGGATTACGTAAAACTAAAACAAATAACCTTTTTAACTTCAGTTAAAATGAAAATATCAAGAATATATTCGAAGTAGTACTAGCTAGGTGGGTATTTTAGTGAACTATGAAAAGAACATTCAACCTGGGATATTACGAAATCTTTTGTAGAAACAGTTATGACATCTGTTAGTAATTCTAACCAAAAGATAGGAAAGATCAGTAGATTTTGAAAGGTTTCACTAAACTAACAGATCAGGTAGAGACCCCATACAAAAAAGAGTGACGACAATAATGATGAGAGCCTGGGCAATAATCTGTAGTAAAAATGGGGAACTAAGGTAACTAAGATAAAAAAGACAATAGAAAACACTGGGCAATATTTAAATTCATTGTGAAGACTGAGGCTAAAAAACAGATGTGAGTGAAACTATCTCTGAAAAAGGTGGAAACACGATCATCTACTATCAAACCAAGTAAAACATTGATGAACAGTATAACTTATTAACATTGACCTACTACTCTTCAATAGTATAAACAGAAGATCAATATCGAGCCTCGAATCGGTTACAAAATTCGAAGCCATAATTAACTTGGAGAGAGAGAAAAAGAAAGCAATAGGTTCTAATTATTGGGTTCTAGAAGTTTTTAAATATGCTGGTCCATTTGATGCTTCAGTTAAGGATAATGACTTTCTGTAGGTGTTATGTTTATATGAAAATATAAATTAAACAAGTTATATATTTATTATACTGTACTTCGTTATTAGATATGTTTGATATTACGTAGGCTATTCAGTAAAAACAAATAAACTTTATACCCTCACTTACTAAAAGTGAATGAAATAAGTGAATACACAAATCTAACTATATTTTATTTTGTTATCTGATTTGAATGCCATTTTGGAACGAAACGATAAGCAGACAAACAAAGAACAAAGTCAAATCCATAATATAATCTAAGAAATATTTTTGATAAGTGTAAACATTTTTGGTTGAACATATATATTAAATGATATGGTATAAATCTACATAATTTACAGTTACTGTATACATTTCATACTAGAATTTTATGTTATATTTTAAGCGATATTTATTCTGTTCAGCTTTCCTAAAGAAGTCAATTATGGATTTTAGGGAGCCCTCAAATGTCTTGGTACGGTCGAGGGTGGGTAGAGTTAGTTCTCCCTCTCGAAATACTCTCACATGGCCACACGTATACAGCTATCGTCAGGGAAGTCCAACTCAATGCCTTCCCGCAGCATTACTGTTGTTTACGAAATTGAGGGAACGAAAAGTGAATGTACGGCACTTTAATCGGGTGGGTGGATATGGAGGATTTACATACTTACTACTTACTTACGCCTGTTACTCCCAATGGAGCATAGACCGCCGACCACCATTCTCCAACCTATTCTGTCCTGGGCCTTCCTTTCTAGCTCTATCCAATTGTTATTCATTCTTTTCATGTCTGTCTCCATTTCTCGTTGTAATGTGTTCTTCGGTCTTACACTTTTCCTTTGACCTTAAGGATTCCATGTGAGGGCTTGCCTTGTGATGTAGATGGGTGCTTTCCTCAATGTGTGTCCTATCCACTTCCAGCGCTACTTCCTGATTTTTTCGTCCGCTGGGATCTGGTTTATTCTCTTCCACAATAGGTTGTTGATGATAGTGTCTGACCAACGGATCCGAAGTATTTTACGTAGACTGTTGTTAATAAACACATGTATCTTCTGGATGATAGCTTTCGTAGTTCTCCAGTTTTCCACCTCATACAGTAGAACTGTGCTGACATTTGTATTGAAAATTCTGAACTTGGTGTTGGTTGACAGACAGTTGTTTCGAGTTGCAGCTGTTCTTCAGTTGTAAATATACTACTCTTACTTGGCCGATCGGAGCCTTCACATCTGCATCAAATCCACCGTGTTCATCAATGATGCTGCCCAAATATGTAAAGGTTTTTACACCTTCCAAATTTTCCCCGTCAAGTATGATTTGATTGATGAATGTTGTATTGTATCGGAGAATCTTGCTTTTCCGTTTGCGTATATTGAGATCTACTGCCGCTGAGACTGCTGCTACACTGGTCGTCTTGTCCTGTATCTATTGTTGCGTGTGAGATAGAATAGCCAGATTATCTGCGAAGTCTAGATCATCCAGCTGAATCCTATCTGTCCAATGTATTCCATGTTTCCCTTTAAATGTTGATGACTTCATGATCCAGTCGGTCACCAGGAGAAAAAGAAAGGGTGAGGAGGATCTACGTAGGGTAGTTAAGAAAACTCTGATTCCAAACCAATGGTGCACATGGGTTCCTGGATCCTGAAGGAACAAATGGCGTATGAACCAATTACTGGTCATCGGCTACCATGGGACTGCATCTCTCGACGTTTCTCCATTGCCATTTGGATTAAACCTTTAGATCGAAGACTCAGGGTGTGCCCCCCCCCAAGAAAACCACCTGCTTCAGTTCGGGCACTCAGGTAGTATCACACCTAACACACACACACAAATCCAGTGACTTGTATGGCGTGTATATATTCGGTACCCCTTTTTATGTATTCAAATAAATAAAAATTCACTTTGAGATGGTGGAGAAGATTTGTAGCTCAGATGGATGATTTTGACGGAGTTTTGTTCTCTGATCTGCATGGTTTAGTCGTGGACCTTTCGAACACTTCACATTTCTACCTGAAGTTTGTGCTGATGATGATGTCGTTCAGAAGAACGATGAAAGGCTCCACGACTAAACCATCCAACTCAGAGAATAAAACTTCATCAAAATATTCATTTTCTCTGTTTTATTTTATTGTTTGTAATATCATATAAAATGACTTAAACATAAAAACATATTCATTTCATGTCTTATATGTAGTGATTACTAAATGGCCGAATGAACTTTACACAAACAAACAAACAAACAACTACTAGTCAAATTATTATTACTATCCAATTTATTTCATTTGAAATATAGAAAAACAACAACAAAGTCATTCAATCATAAACTTACTGGCAATTTAGAACAATTTAATAATTCTTCTGTTATTAAACTTAATAGACGTGGACCATTTGAATCACGTTTTGCTAATAATTCACGAACTTTAGCAAACATAGCAGGAATTTGTGTTCCATTACAATGGTTACCATTATTGAATTGATTATCACAATGATGTAAATTAGAATCAAATTGTGTATCTATTGAATTAGGCCAATAATAATAATGATGAAATGGTGAAGTTGATGAATAATAAAGACGATTATTATTATTAGTAGTATGATTATTGTTATGATCATTATTATTACTACTATTATTGGTATTAAGATTGGTAGTAGTGTTATTTGATGTAGTAGACGATGATTGTGAATGATCAATTGATAATGGTAGATAGTTATTAAGGGCTAAATCTAAGCCATTTAGAGTATAAGAATTGGTACATGTGTTATTATTGCCACCTCCAATAAGAAGATTTTGATTTAAAGTTAGTCGACGATATCTAAGTAACCAGTCTAAGCCAACTTCAGTTGAATCGTTATAATCAATATCTAGAAAGAAATAGTTTATTGAAGAAAACGAAAGGTGAAACATACAAAAACTTATAAATTACAAATATACTTTATACAGGTGACATGTAACACAACTAATCATACAGAGATGATGTATTGTAGTTGTATTGTTCACAGTGACTTGAAACTATTGATTATTTCGATTATATTACATAAAACAGTAAAAACTGGATTAGTTAAATATTTGAACACCGTTTCAGCTACTTCAATTTGAGCATCTGAAGGTCGGTTACAACCAACTAACCTTCAAACAAACCACCTAAGCTTATATGTTCTAATATGTATACGTGTATACACCGTGGACGAGCTGTGTTGAAGATTGTTTGGAATAAAAAAGAAATCTCTGTATAATCAATTAAGATGAAGAGATTAAAAGGTGGAGCGGCCAATATGCACTGCTAAACCAAATAGTGTTATAAATATACTCCGTTTTCATTTACTATGATTTAATAACCTAATGTGTAATATATGTAATCGACTCTTTGCTTACAATGGCTTTTAGTATAACCATTACTCGGTTGCTCCAATCAGATGTGTGTAGACTATGTAAACTCGCAATCCTAGATACTCATCTTCGCCATCATTTCGAAAGTATACGGTTATGTGTGTAACACATTGAATAGAATAATCTAAAAACTTAATATATAGAGTGAGATTACTAACACACAGACTGATAAGTATTTTTTATTATTGTTTTATATCTTCACTAATTATAGATAAGTTTAAATTGATATTATGAATGGATCGATGTTAGAACACCGTTCAAAACCTGGACGGGACTCGAACGCAGGACCTTTTTATCGCGCGCGGGATCATGGATGCGCACTGTTGAGGTGTCTCATACTAGAACGAAACGACCGTCTAGTGCTTCTAGGTTTTCAATGATGGTCTAGCATTGATCTATTCATGATAGCAATCTAAACTTAACAATCTCCACAACCCTATACTGCTCAACAAACATTAACAGTGAGACGTGTATTTATGTAATTCATAAATAAGTGAATAATGCTGTTGTTCTTGATTCATTCTAGATTATTGTTAATCAATTAATTAATTAAATAGTTATGCCTATCCGTTGAAATCTAGACAACGTGATCAGTAATAATGATAATAAATCATACGCTTGAACTATTGAAATTATCATTAACATAAAAGTTCAAATCGAAATCTGTCTTATAATCACATTACTATTTCATCTATTTATCCAATATATGCGTATATCAGTAATCTATAAAAGATAAGAATCTAAAGAGATATACTGTGGTGTATGCGCTACTTATGTTGACAAATATAAGTAGTATGTAGCACCAATCGAAAGTGGAATGTTTATTATCAATAGAAGATTGAAGTGAAGTGAACGACAAGGGTAACACAGAAAGCAATTGTTATAATAACAGAATTGAAAGAATCATGAAGCATGATAAAAGACAATTGAAGGAAGATGTGCGAATGATGTATTCAATGTATGATTTTCATATCTGAATTCTCGTTCACTACAAAAACACTGTCGAGTAAAGATATTTTATTTATATATCATCAACAAAGCACTGATCTAATCCAAGATAATAAAATACACACATATAACAACCATTAAATACATTTATTCATTCATAATCGATATCCCATTAGTTCAGCTTGCAACATTTAACAGTATCTAGTCAGTCAGTAACAACGTAGAACTTCATACGTATGTACATCAGTTCGAGTTGTCATACCACATTAGCAGAGAGATGCAATTGTCAATATAGTTGATTAAATGAAAACACAATTATCTGTTATTGACCTTTATTTATAAAATTGGTGTTGAATATAGTGAATAAGTTTGTTGCTAATGTTTGTTACACATTACTATTAAATAATGATAACAACAATAAACATAACTGTAATCGCCCTTTATAAAGAATAACATTATTATTTAATCCATTCAATTGTTGTACGATAAAAAACAAACAAACCAATGTCATCTTTTTAATACTGATTAAATTCTATCAATCAAGACTTCTAACATAATGAATAGTTTAGATAAAATAACTTTACAGGGTACAATGTTTGATCTCATATGGTGGTTAAGAGTAAATCAGTAGGATATCTTGTTTCATTAGTTTAGTTCTAACTGGTATTTGTATTAACGAATCTATTTAGGGTCTGAAGACAAGTGGTGTTTTTGATGAGAGTAGAGAATTCATGTCACTACTTACTATAACGGTTAAAGAAAATCACGGCACTAAACTATTCGAATCTTGACTGACTAACCACCACCTACCATAGAGTAGTAACCAACAAGTCATGATAAATTGAAGTAAACACAAAGTGAATCTCTGGTTCGAATAGTGGAGTAGTAACATTTCTGACCATGATATTGGATTATAAAGAGGATTCGACTGCAAACAAGGTCATATATAACACGAGGTGTATAACACTGACAGCAATAAATTGTAGTAGAAGAGTGTAAAAACAGCTTGGAACTTGTCAATTGAATATTTAGCAAGATGGGTTTTTGAGTTCTGAGAACTGAAAGTAACTACTATCCACGGGAGCAACTTCCTAGACTAACAACTAATTTTAAATGATAAAAGGACACTTACCATTTTGACTTCCCATCCCTGAATCGATACCAAGTGACGTGGACGAATTAGGATATGATCGATGTGAACTATTAGATCTTTGTATAAATGAAGATGATGTTGATGATCTGTTTGTGGTATTACTCTGTTGTTGTTGTCCAGCAGAATTGAAGTTTGAAACACCATTTGGTGAATTACATCGTCCACCAGATGATAATCGTAAATTATTTACATTATGATTTGCTCCATATAATCCATTACTTGCAAGATTAGTTAATTCCACACGTAGTTGTTCACGTACACCTGCTTCATCAAGATACCATGCAGCAACATCTTGTAGACTACCACCAGCTGTTGGATCAGGAGCGCCTATTCATTATTTTTATTTCATTGAAAGAACAATTTTTAAGAGTATAATTCATATATTTATAATTTAAATAAATGGTTGCAAGTATTATTAGTGGACAATAAAAACAACACATCAAATGGATTTTGGTAAACAATAAGGTTTTTCGTATGAGAAAAATATTCATTTGATATTTTGTGATAAGATTCTATTCATTTATTTGGTGTTGGTAAGATCTTTAAAGATCACTGGAACATCAGTTGGTCAGTTATAAGGAACACTAAACCAGGCACAACTACACATCCGTATAGTCATGATATTTCTTAGAGTTGTAGATATAGTAACAATATTAGTTGTAATAGAAAACATTAGATATAGGTAATATGATTCAAGAATGAATTGGAAAAATAAAGTGTAGGATAATTTTGAAACTCAAGATCGAAGGAAAAGAAAGAATGCATTTGAGACATCGTGACTTATTCTGAACTATGATAACTAACATTTTTAACCACTGGTCAAAGTAATCGCGTGCGCTTTAACCGTATAATCCTGATTCGGTTTGGGCACCGGGGCAGTATCACAGCCCTCATACATATCAAATGAGATTTGTGTGGCGCATATGTATTTGGTGCCTTCTTGTACCAATATCTATGTGTTCAAATAATAATAATAATAATAATCTGCACCAACCCAAACTGTTCATATTAACAGTCTTCACAGACTGATACCACATCTTGGTTTGACTGACCCTAGCTTCATTCCAACCGACTTCTCTACACCAGATAACATTCCTCGTCGAGGCAGGCAGTGGTAAGGCATGCTACTATCTTATCAGCCAACCCATCACTTTTTCATAGCATTCTATGCTTAACCCTCATATTACTCACATAGTGGTCCCAAAATATACCAGCGATGCTTCGAAGACACTTATGGTCGAGTATTAGTAATCTACGAATAGGGTAGAATATGTCCAGAGAGTTGAAGAATTTGAAATATAAAACCCAAAATACTTTTAGTCGTCACATACATAACTTGATAAGAACTGATACCTGTAATGAAGTTAATTTATGCTGTTCTCTGATGTAATTTATACACACTATGTACATGTTTATACACTTAGGACTTTAACCTACACTTCATAGACGACTGTTATTGATATTAACCAGCTTTCCAGACAGAAATAAATGGATGCGCAGTTTTAAAATGTGACCTAGTGACTGTGAGCTGAATATCTTAACCATTATGCTAACGTACCACTGGAATTCTGTATAGGATAGACCAACACACTTACTCTAATCATGTACAATGTTTGGTCTACGAATGAAATAATCAACCGCTATATATTCAGAGTTATAATATACACTGTTTAATTCGGACGCGTACCCATAAAATGTCAACAGTTTGTCAAGCAAAATTAACCAACCATCAATTTCAATTTCCATGGTTATCATCTAAATATTAGTTGAAGGTAGCAAATGTAATAAAAAAATCAACAGTTATGTACAGATAAAATCACATTTGTGTATAATTGAAAGCCTGAGAAAATGGTATTTAGTCAAGCGCACTTCTTTTGTGTGTGCACGCACAGGCATGCTAGTAGTCACTAAGGCTAAAAAGGATAGTGATGAGTTGTCAAGACAATTGGTAATTATTTATTAAATAATTACATTTAAGCCTGACCATCGATTTCTAATCTAAGTGTTTAACGCTCTAATAGGACGCACATGTATACTTCTAATCTGATAAATACGCTACAAAGAGGGAATCTATAAATTACATGAGAGAAAATCTATAATTATATACGTAGAAAAGTGTAATTATCAAAAAAATCTCCCAAATGTATACAACTTATTAGTGGATCCTTTTGACTAAACAGTAAAATCGAGTTTATTCTAGCTGACTTAATAATAATGATAATAATAATAATGGTAGTCAGATTACTTGTCTAATAAATTTGCACACTGTGTGTAATTTTCGACTTCATTACATTAGTAGTCTGTGTGAAGAAATACATGTACAAAACCGAACACATAAAAGAGACAACTGATTGTCCCCGAATTCCCTGGTACGGCCGAGAGCGGTGAGTCCACTTTTCCTCTCGAAATGCTCTCATATGGCCATGCATATATAGTCATTGCTGGGGATGTCCTACTCGCCACCTTCCCGCAGCAGGGGTGTTCCTTAAAAAATTGAAAGGACAAAAAGCGAATGTCCGGCACTTGAACCACGTTGATGGATACGAAGGATACAACTAGAGGAGTTGGTGTACATAGGCTCCAGGATCTTAAGGGAATAAGTGGCGTACGAACCCATACTTGCCCATCGACTACCTCATTCCTTTGCCTCACCGCCTTGCGGTTTAAACTTCTGGGTCAAAGGATCAGGGAGTGTCCCCCTAAGAGAACCACTTATTTCGGTTTTGGAAACCGGGGAGTATCCCAGCCCTCATATAAACTTTGTATGGTGCAGATATATTGTGGTACCCCTTTTTATCAACGTTTGTGTTTAAATAAATTAGTTATTAATATATTAAACCGATGATTGATCAACTGACCAAATAAATAATCAACCAATTAGTTAAAATGATTGACAGGATACACATAGTGAATTTGTTTTATAAACATAAAATCATGTGCATTGTCATCAGTAAGCAATCAGTAGGTATAAGGAAATAACAGCAACTAATAACATGAAAGAGACATACACACACACACATAGACCATATCGCTGCTTGTAGATACCAATAATACTAACCGGTCAGTTGGTGAGAAATTAAAAAAAACCACTATTATAATAAATGATGATCGATTTCGTGTTACATTGACATTTGATTTGAGCAACCTATCACTATTATTTATTCTGAAAGTATGTACTTTTGTAGCTGAGTTTTAAATCTATCAATAGTAAATGAAATGCGTGACAAATACCATGATCGTGTCCAGTCTTTTAGTGTTGATTGAGTTCTATCAAAAAAAATGTAATATGGCGCTAGTTCAAGTGAGTAGACATCCTTTGTCATTATGATATCCTGCGCTTAGGTTTCGTACTAGGTGGTACTAGTCTGCAATCATCAGCAGATTCGAAACTGTATCATTTATTTCCGTAGACTCATGCTTAACATCTCAGTTATGTGTGTACATTTGTGAATGATGGGTCGTCAAGACAAATGGAAATACATGTTAACACTGAAATAGAGCATACAAGGTAAACTCATGATAATCTATGATCTCATATACATATAGAGATGGAATGCGATCGAATTGTCGATATAAAGTGGAATCTGAAATACGAGCGCTTTAGTGAAACTTAACAAAAGTAATAGTACCTGCTTACAAGCAACTTTACAACCACAAGATATTAATATTTAACTCAGTCATATTAAAGGTACCTGAAGTAAATTTCTTTGTTTTAAACAACCGAGTATATTCTCACCTACAAAATAAGTAAAAACTAAAAAGCACCTTTATGAATGCAAATATAATTGAATTATATAAATTGGGTCGATTACGACGACAGTCATGTTTGACAAGCAACGATTTCTCCAGATGTCTTTGTTGAATAATACAATAATTATGACCTTAATAAATGAAAGATCTTTTCATCGAATAAATTAAGTTTAGAGAATGATTGTACTACTACTATCAAGTGATTCAATCTAATTAAGATTTTATCACTGGTACTACACACATATATATATATTTATGTCACTAACAGAGTATATGTGTATTTAATGCGTTCTGATAAGGTCAAGATAAAATTATAATGGTGGGAATAGGACAAAAGAGAAATAATAAGTAACCTTAGAATTTATTTATATAATTAATGTACGCTACAATGAATGGAAGCACGCACAAACCAATCTATATATATACACACATATGACAAGGAGGAAATATCGTATCTAATATTAGGGTGAGAAACTATTGTAAAGAACATATGTGATAAAAACACGTCATGAATTATGAATATAATAAAAGCTGATGGACAGGTAGGTAGGTAGGTTTATAATCACACAAACAAAGAATGATTCATCTACAAAACACATTTTGTGTACAATTTCAAATGGTACAAACGAATATACACAACAACAACAAAAACTAAACATAGTGGTGTTTTAGTTGAAAATTGAAAGAGAGAATACTAGTGAAAACTATCATCATAAACAATGTGTAAGAAAAAGGAACAATCAGTGAATATTACAACGGTATCCAAGTGATAAGAAATAATTGTGTCAATCAACCAATTAGAAATAAGCTTTATCTTGGACATTTCTGATTGGTCACTTTTAGATCGCTTACAGACCATATATTACACACTTAAAAGACACAGCTGATTTGATATACAAAATAGATTCAGCTGAGTGGATTGTAAAGGATTATTATTTATTATTATCGGATATGACTAAGATTGAGCACATATTGCATTGAAAAACAGATTAAAATAATTAGATGCAAAAGAAAGAAAAAACAATCAGTTGTACAACTTACCCGATGTTTTATTGATGTTTGATTCTGGTTGAAGTAATTGATCAGCTAATTGTTGTGCACTTGGTAGAATTTTATTTGGATGTGAAGCAATTAAATATTGAGCGAATTTCTGCAGTTGACTACGATTCATACGAACCAAAGCATCTATAAATATAGATAGATAGATAGATCAATGGGACAAGAAAACAATGCTGAATGAATTAACGACAATAATAAAAATAATTCAAATATTAAGAAAAACTAGACAATGGAGAAAAACAGTAGCACAAGACGGTTTATAACTTTTTGGGTACACTAAATAAATCATTTCTTGATCAGATTTGAAACATTTCCGTTATTCGCATTTGTTTTAATACTCATATAAATTAAGGAATAAATAACAAAAACTATGTTCACTATTAATGCTCATTAGAAAACATTTAAATGTTAATATTCTATAATTATAAATAGGCGTCCACCACACCATGGAATCATGGTTGAGGACATGAAAACAAAATGTTGAGATCAGTTAGTGAAATCATCTCCTATTGGTCTACTCTAACACAACAAGTCGAGATATTAAGTCCCGTCTGATATGTATAACATACAGTTGGAGAGTTTAACGCAGTTTGAAATAGGTTTCAGTAATTGCCCAGATAACATCACGAGCGCTTATACAATGTGTTGGTCATTATACTTCATTGTACTGACTCTAGATGGTACGGCGAGGTGGTTGGCCCAATTTAGTATATTGTCTGGAATATTTGTTCTTCTAGGTCCTACTAAGCTTAAATTAATTGGAGGGTAATAAGTTTAAAAGTACTACACTTTTAGTTGGAAGGTGAAAATGAACTATTAAATTTACTGGGATGTGAAGGAAGTAGTGTTTCCCACTGATAACCAGCATTTTTAGCGATATCATATTTTAACAAGGAAGATGAGGAAGGCTCAATTGTGAAATTATATTACAATAACCCAGAGTTCCAACGTACTAGTGGTAAAGTTATAAAAACCCAAACCAAATACATCAAAAACCTCTAACAAAAGGACTCTACATGTGACTGATTTCAAGGAGCTCTTCGGTTACTCATCCATATTTGTAAGGCCTTCACTAATTCAGTTTTTTGTCGAATCTCTGGGGAAGAAAACTCTTCCCTAATAACGGCAGTTAGGAAGCATTAATCGTCCTGACAACTATAATACGGCTGGAGTTAGCGATTCCTGGGACAAAATCATTGCGATACAAATCTAAGTAAAAGGTCAAATAATTGCTGAATGAGTTACATCCATTAAAAATCAAAATGAGATTTTGTAGTGATTCAAAGTTCAACGGAAAATACTAAAATGAATGTAGTTTAAAGATAAGAGACATGAATTGCAATTCTACGCTTGACTAACTACAAATTAGAAAAATTGGGGAAATAAAAACATCACTATTCTTATGGATGATGAATAAAACTTGTTGCCATTATTGACAGAGAAAATAAAGACAAATGACCATGTCCAATTATATATTTTCTATTATAGTCATTATTATTATTATTTATTATTTAAACACATAAACATTGGTACAAGGAGGCACCAGATACATATGCGCCACATAAATCATCCGATTTGTGTGAGGGCTGGGATACTGCCCGGGTGCCCAGACCGAAGCAGGTGGTTTTCCTAGGGGGCCACACCCCGAGCCTTCGACCTAAAGGTCTGATCCACAAGGCAGTGGAGCATCGTGAGGAGATACAGTCCCATTGTAGCCGGTGACTAACGATTAGTTCACACGCCATTTGTTCCCGCAGGATACTGGAGCCCATGTGCACCATTGGTTTGGGATCCGGCTAAAGCGCCGAACATTTGCTTTTCGTCCTCTCAATTTCGTATGTATCATTAATCAGTTGCTTATATCAAGCCATTTACATCTCAACGGATAAAGCATACAACAAATTAATATGACTGGAATTGATCCCATAGCTAAGTATTAAGATTGGACAACATGAATTAATTAACAAATAACATAAAGTTGATACAATGAACGCTATGAGTAATTGTTATTCAGTTTACATAATTTCTTTTATTGAATAAATGAAATATATGGAAGAAAAATGAGACTGAATAATAATTTTTTAACTGAGACCGGTTTTCTTTCTAATGGACTAGATACAGAGAGATTAAGAAAAAAAATCTAGTCTTAAGCTCATTTTTCATTATATATATATATATATATATATATATATATATATATATATATATATATCACTAGCTTTATTAGAGATGGAAAAAAACACAATTAACTATGAAATAATACTTTGCTCTATTATTTGAGTTGTTTTTTTTCAAAGAATGATCTCAATTGGGATGCCATTGAAAATAATAGAGGAAAACACAACTGCTTTGTTCTAGTATGGAACTCTTCAACAATGCGCACTCATGACATTGGCAGGAATGGAACGCATGACCTCCTATACTAGAGCGAAACAGTTATTCAATGCTCTCCAGCTTTCATTGGTACCACAAATGAAATTAAACTGTGATATTACCTGAAAAGTAAACTAAACTGCATGAAACCACTTTAACTAAATGATTCATTTATCATATTAGTCAATCAGTTATGACCAAAGAATACCTCGGTACATGACTATGCTGGCTTAAGTTGCAATATCAAATTAACAAGATGTATGGTAAAAGAGATTGAGATAAAATGGTAGCAACGGTAATGAGAAAGACTAAACCTTGGGAATATGGTACAGAAAGACGGGGTGAGAAGGCATGTGTGAGAAGATACTAAAATTTAAGTTTGAAGAAAAGATAAATTGAAGAGTGAATGGGCATTTCTGCCACTATAACTGATTCAGAGACATATCAATTGAAATCTCTGGCCACTGATTACAGCTATCTTGCGGACCCCAACCAGTTAGTCTTTATTTCTAGAATGAGTTGGGGCAACAGTTAATAATTTCATACTGATGTCACATTCCGTTTTAGACTCTCGTAACTTTTCTCCAAGCTACTCCTATTCCAACAAACACCATCCATCGATGTAATTGGTGATTAGTTATACGTAACACATGTCCCAACTACCTGACTTATTAATTTATATTTAGATAAATAACTTGTTACAGTCAATCAACATATGATATAGAAGAATAAATAGAACCTTCTGTAAACCATATCACCTGTGATGAGATGACATAATTGATGAAATCAAGTTTATATCATAAAAGTATATTGAGTAGTATTTTTATTAAAACGTGTTTATAATATTATGATCAGCTGATGTATGTATGCATAGTTTATTTTCAAGCTAATAAGATTACAGTCTATTTAGTTGAAACACTATTAGATTGATCCAGTCGATTAAGTTCGAATCTCTTGACATGAATGAAAACTTTAAGTGATCAAATAAATAAATGTAGTTATGATTTGTAAACCGACATATGGACACTATTTTAGCTGTCTCTATTCATACTACATTGAAATACATTTGAAAAGTCTTAGAAACAAAATTAACTCAATATTAAAATTAATTGAGGGAGATTAATACTTAAGATCCATTTATGACAACACACAAGAATTAACAGTACCAGATGGGTTTTGTGGATATTATAGTAATTTCAATGATTAAGATCATGAGTCAGTTGAAGCTAGACCATCATGGAAAACCTGGAAGCACTGGACGGCCGTTTTATCCTATTGTGGGACTCCTCAGCAGTGCGCATTCACGACCTCCCCCGCTGCGAGATTCGAACCCAGGACCTGCTGGTTTCGCGCGCGAGCACTTAACCACTAACAGTACGATTATTAGTAAACAAACAAACATGCACGCATTCGCACACATGAACCAATTGACACACACATAGAGAGAGAGAGAAAAAGATTATTCAAAAAGGAAGTATTGAACAATTTTACGGTTAAAGTTTGTTCGGAGATTAACGGACATAATAAAGAAAGGGATGAAATGGGAAGAAAAGATGTAAAGAAATAAATACCTTAACATATGTAATAAACATTTTAATAACACATGATTCATTCATATACTTAGATGAACGATTAGGAGAAACAAGCATAAACTTAAAATTTAATTTTTTTAACGCTAACATTATGTGCATTGTTGTTGTCACTATTATAACATACAATAGGATTGATTGAATATTGTCTATTGAATTTAGATATAGTTGTAGTCTAAAAGTAACATGCTTACTCTAAAAACTTGATGTAACTCAACTCTACCTCTACGAAGTATAAATATATAGACTAATTACACTATAGTTACTCGGCTGTTCAAACTAAATGACGTACAACAGTGTTCGCATAGAAAACCAATTACTAGGTGAAATTTGAGTATTTTCTTTTCTTTAATCTACTCTAAGATTTGGAGTTTCTAGTTTATAATGCTGAAAGCATCGTAATTGTAGATTACCACTCTTTCAGGTTATTAATCATTTACCCACTTATATCATTGTTCATGACTAAAACAGTCTTAAATACTTGACATAATTATCAACGTTTATTTGTATGTTGAAGACAGATTATTTTAATTTATATTTGTTAACGAATTAACGAGACCGATCGCCTTGATTTCAAATCAATGATCCACGTGGGCTCCAGGATCATGAGAGAAATGGCGTTTGAACTTATTCTTGGTCATGAAACCAGATCTAACGTTATTCTACTGTCTTGTAGACTAGACACCTGAGTGAAAGGCTCGGAGAGTGGTGTCCCAAGAAAGCTACCTAGGTTGGAGCATGTGTATTTTAGTTCTCTTTTGTACCAATGTTCATATATTTACTAATGCTAAACATTCTGACTGTCACCCAGTTTTCTTATCAGCCCATCATTACTACCACCGTTCCACCAACTTTTATATAGAGCAATCTAAGCAGTATTAGTTCTCACGCAAAAGGTATGGCACAAAGTGGACTGGTGGTGGTGTTCGACTTTCAGACAATAAATCACAGGTTGCAACACCACAGCATCAATAACTTTGCTTTGGGTAACCGGATAGTAGTAGTAGTAGTACCAACTATCACATTTGAAGCGTAGCTTGAGATCAGGAACAAGAATCTGTAAACCGTAAACCAACTAACAAAAATTAATGCACATTTTTGCAACACATAGGATAAAAACGTTTTACGAATGAATGTTGGTAATACATTCTACATTGTCCCTAA